TGTTTTACGTGAGTGGACTGTCCCGCACGTAGTTTCTTGACGTTGGTTTTTGGAAGTTTCGTTTGGTCATCCCGATCAAATTTGTGTGAGTATCCGCAGTTTTATCGAGTTTAGATGAAAAATCCTAAACACACCATCCTCAAATCAAGTGGTCTCTTCGCTGCAAATTACAATATGTCAATCAATTTTTTGGCAAGGAAGCATCATCAGGATTGAGGAGAAACACAAGTGAGGTGGACCTATATCACGCAACACAAAGTGGAACGAAACTACACCATACGTGATGAAAGTACACCATCCTTTGGACACAGGCACACGCATACACATACCCACGTACATGCACACGCCAAACACACACAGACACACGGTCATACTCACAATCGCACCAACACTCACACTAGCTCTAAATCGCACCCACACTCACACACGTGCAACAAAAGACACACACACACACACAAAAACCGAATGTGCTTGAAATAAGGTGTGAATAGTGGTGGGACTATGACAAAAAGAGAGATGGGATTCTGTCACCAAACTGCACTTACGCTACAACATTTCGCTGAACTGTATAACAATGGCGTGAACAAGTACACATGACAACAGGACAGTGGCAACTGTAACCATGGTGACAGTGATCATCACATTGTCAATTGCCAAGCAGAACCCAGCCACGATCATTGTTCAACTTCGGATGGCGTCTGGATATGTGGATGGCCTCCGTTATACGGCGTTTAACGAGTTATTTTTATAACTTTGAAACTCCATAGTAGCCTTGTCATATTTTCAGTACACCCAACACATGAACAGTCCTTGGCTACACAACGTACAGTTATCGAGTTTGTTGGAAGATTTGATATTTGTGTGACAAGTTCGACCTAAGGGGGCGTTCGTTTTTGATCTACAGGTTTGGGTAGAAAACTACTTCTTTCGGTAGAGGTGTTCCTTTTTTCTACTTTCCTCTACCAGCTCTACCAGGAAAAAGTTGGTAGAGCTACGGGATTTCCAGCAAGATGAAGGATTTGTACACAACTCCATACAGAAGAGAAACATTTCACGTACGTATCGTGTAAACTACTAAATCCGGTAGAATAGCTTCCGTGCACTTACCTCTACCATCTACCTCTATCAGTTGAGCGACTCTACTCTACCAGGTAGCTAAAAATTAACGCAGACTAAACCCGAATCTTGCCACGGCAATATTTCACGTCACACGCGTAACTTAACCTCTATAGCTCTAAAAAATATTTTACACGTATTTAACGTGAGATTACACGATCATTTACTCTCTTTTTTTAAACGTGAGATTTCATCGCGCTTTGAAAAAAGTAAAAAAAACATGTAACTAACAGTTACTTAACCTCTCTACTCTTTCCTAAAAGGCTAAAACCTCAGGTTACATCATCCATAGACTATACCAGTAAGGCCACCTAGAATTAATTCGTTGCTTCGGGTCACTTCACTCATCCGCACCAGGGTCGGTCGGTCAGGTTTATTTTTTAATTTTAATTTTAGTTGGAGGCATGTGCATACATGTACAATTGTGCATATCGAATAGCTTTTCTCCATCAAGCCAGTCGATCAAATCTGACTGTAGTTGATCCAGTGAGCCATTGTCCCATCAGATCCAGGCCTCCTCCAGGACCAGATCTTGGCCTCGCTGGCAAACGAGTCTGACGAGCAGCTCTCCGGGCACCGAAGTCCTTGAAAACAACAATGAGCGACGCAGTGGCGGAGCTGATGCTGTTTCAGGACCGATTGCGAATCGGAGATACATGTAGAAGACAACGTCGTCACCAAGTGCTGCATCCTGTTAATTGACTGCTTCTGAGGTCGATGTCTGGACTGCTATATTTTGGGCCGCGTGTGTACATAGTCTACCTTGAAAGTTGTAGTCATGCACGTTTGCATGCACTAAAAAAAATTGCGGTCGGGTGACCCGAAACAACGAATTAATTCTGGGTGGCCTAACGGCCAACAACTAGTCGTATCTCAATAATCTCAGTCTAGCGGACTAAAAATCTGCTTCCAGTTCCTACGCCTCTGAGGAGAGAGAGAGAGAGAGAGAGAGAAAGAGATAGAGAGAGTAAGTTACATTTATAAAGACAGGTAAGTCTAACAAATGAGGACTGAGACCTCTACAACAGGGTTTTTACGCCTGAAAGCAGGTGCATGATTTAAAGGGGAAGTTAAGGCAAAAAGTAAAATTTCACCAGTTGTAGTCTTCGGGGTGCTGAGTCGAATGGTCGTGGTCCGAGGAAGCTGAGACGCTCCCTTCCTACTTGAATCCCAATCGAACTCGCGCACTTCCACCGAAACTGGGTGACTGCGCCCTACTAGATGGGGATTTGTATGCAAAATGTCACTAAAAGCGCCATTTCGTTCTTATAAAAGCACGGATGACCGCGATTGGCCCATATGTTGTAGTCTTTTGGACGCTGAGTCGACTGGTTTTGGTCCGAAAAGGCTGCGATGCAGCGTTCCTCCTTTATTCCCAATCGAACATGGTTGAACAAGCGGTCACGTGCTCCTGCGTACGCCAGTCACCTGGTCACCGTGCCTGCAGGGTACAACTTACTAGCCTGTTTGACCATTTTTGGGTGCAGTCCTGTCACTCGAGTTGAACCTTGGTGTGAAAGTTGTCACCTGCTGGCGTGGTGACCAGGTGATTTGGGCACCCAGGAGCACGTGACCACTTGTTCAACCATGTTCGATTGGGAATAAAGGAGGAACGCTGCATCGCAGCCTTTTCGGACCAAAACCAGTCGACTCAGCGTCCAAAAGACTACAACATATGGGCCAATCGCGGTCATCCGTGCTTTTATAAGAACGAAATGGCGCTTTTAGTGACATTTTGCATACAAATCCCCATCTAGTAGGGCGCAGTCACCCAGTTTCGGTGGAAGTGCGCGAGTTCGATTGGGATTCAAGTAGGAAGGGAGCGTCTCAGCTTTCTCGGACCAAGACCATTCGACTCAGCACCCCGAAGACTACAACTGGTGAAATTTTAATTTTTGCCTTAACTTCCCCTTTAACAAGCAGGTTGTCAGTCTAGATTTTATGCGCAGATGGAGAAAAAGCGCAGAATTTTTGTAATGAGATGAAAAGCAGAAATAAAAAGAAAAGATGAAATGGAAAGCCTGCTCACAACCCCGCCCAGCCTTGCGAACAGGGTATGGTGGGGAGAGAAAGAGAGAGAGAGAAAGAGAGAGATAGATAGAGACTAAGAGAGAGAGAGAGAGAGAGAGAGAGAGAGAGAGAGAGAGAGAGAGAGAGAGAGAGAGAGAGAGAGAGAGAGAGAGAGAGAGAGAGAGAGAGAGAGAGAGAGAGAGAGAGAGAGAGAGAGAGAGAGAGAGAGAGAGAGAGAGAGAGAGAGAGAGAGAGAGAGAGAGAGAGAGAGATAGAGAGAGAGAATTTGTAGACAATAACTTTTTTAGAGCATTGAAGCGTGAACCTACCACCCGCGCGCAGATCTCTACAGCAACAGGAGTCTCCAGCCATGCAACGATCCAACAGAACACCCCATTTCTGGTAGATAGCAGGTTTTGCTGCTGATGAGAACTCCAAAACTCCCATCCAAATCCTCATATCGACTGGGAGCATAGAACTTCAGAGAAACTATCAAAATGATGTAGGAAACTGACGATCTTTCGAAACTACAGCTGAAATGGGACCAACTGTAGCTGCGACAGCAACGCAACACAAAATCGTTTTCTGCCTGCATCACCTCTCCTAACAGGCATGTCAGGACCTGGAAAATGAAAGACTGATCATACTGCGTACACGCCGGTATACATAGCTCACAAAACTGACAATACATGATTTTGGATTTTTGTTTTCCGAAGCAGCATGCATGGCTAGACAAGAAAACGCCATTTTTCGTCATGGTAACGATGCATTTCGGATTATTGCGCATGCGCTGAGCGGAAATCTTCCTTTCTTTTGGCCTGTCGTGGTCGGCGAGGTAAGCAAACGTAGCCATTGTAGTTCTGGGTTTTTCCTGGCCATTGGAGGCGAAGAGGACGTTTCTGATCCTGGACGGTCTGTGGACTTGTGTTTCAGATGGGGCGAGTAATTCGAGGACAGCGTAAGGGTCCCGGTGGGATCTTCAAATCCCATAACACCACCAGAAAAGGTGCTGCAAAGCTCCGTCGTCTGGATTATGCTGAGAGGCATGGTTACATCAGAGGAGTTGTGAAGGACATCATTCACGATCCTGGCCGTGGTGCTCCTCTTGCAGTTGTGACCTTCAGAGACCCATACCGTTACAAGCTGCGCCATGAAAACTTCATTGCCACTGAGGGCATGTATACTGGCCAGTTCGTCTACTGTGGAAAGAAGGGTGAGCAGATTACGAGCTTCCCTCTGAAAAAATTGAATACAGCTTGTGGAGACGTTCGTTTTGTGTCAATTTGTAGCTGTCACAATTGGGCAGTCTGTTCAGTGTTCTGGGTCAATTGCGATGCGGTATTCTACCCTCGATTGTTTATTTTGGAAATGTTTAAAAAATCATTAGTTTGTGGGAAATATTTTTAATAAATTAAAGGGGAAGTTAAGGCAAAAATCAAAATTTCACCAGTTGTAGTCTTCGGGGTGCTGAGTCGAATGGTCTTGGTCCGAGAAAGCTGAGACGCTCCCTTCCTACTTGAATCCCAATCGAACTCGCGCACTTCCACCGAAACTGGCTTACTGCGCCCTACTAGATAGGGATTTGTATGCAAAAGGTCACTAAAGGCGCCATTTCGTTCTTATAAAAGCACGGATGACCGCGATTGGCCCATATGTTGTAGTCTTTTGGACACTGAGTCGACTGGTTTTGGTCCAAAGAGGCTGCAATGCAGTGTTCCTCCTTTATTCCCAATCGAACATGGTTGAACAAGCGGTCACGTGCTCCTGGGTGCCCAAATCACCTGGTCACCACGCCAGCAGGCGACACCTTTCACACCAAGGTTCAACTCGAGTGACAGGACTGCACCCAAAAAAGGTCAAACAGGCTAGTAAGTTGTACCCTGCAGGCACGGTGACCAGGTGACTGGCGTACGCAGGAGCACGTGACCGCTTGTTCAACAATGTTCGATTGGGAATAAAGGAGGAACGCTGCATCGCAGCCTTTTTGGACCAAAACCAGTCGACTCAGCGTCCAAAAGACTACAACATATGGGCCAATCGCGGTCATCCGTGCTTTTAAAAGAACGAAATGGCGCTTTTAGTGACATTTTGCATACAAATCCCCATCTAGTAGGGCGCAGTCACCCAGTTTCGGTGGAAGTGCGCGAGTTCGATTGGGATTCAAGTAGGAAGGGAGCGTCTCAACTTTCTCGGACCAAGACCATTCGACTCAGCACCCCGAAGACTACAACTGGTGAAATTTTACTTTTTGCCTAAACTTCCCCTTTAAATGTACACTCCTTACTTGCAATCAGTGACATGCCAAGGTGCACTTTTGTGTCTCCACGAGTATCTTGTTGTATGTGCTAGTGCTGTTCACTCCTTTGGGAGATTTGTACTCATTCACATTATCCTTGTTATTTGAATCACTCTGGTGTACAGCCTCGTTGAACGTTGGAAACTGCGCGCCTTTGGGCTCTCTGCCTGAGGGTACCGTTGTCTGCAACGTTGAGGGAAAGGCTGGTGACCGTGGTGCGCTTGCCCGTGCCTCTGGAAACCATGCTATCGTGATTTCTCAGAACCCTGATGCTGGCAAAACCAGGATCAAGCTACCATCTGGCTCCAAGAAGGTTGTGTGCAGCGCCAGCCGTGCCGTCATCGGTATTGTTGCTGGTGGTGGACGTATCGACAAGCCTCTCCTCAAGGCAGGTCGTGCATACCACAAGTACAAGGTCAAGCGTAACTGCTGGCCTCGTGTCCGTGGTGTTGCCATGAACGTAAGTTATCACATTCCTATTCCTACTTTCCTCCTTAGTTTGTATAGACTTAGAGAAGGCAGCTATCACCTGTGCCTGTGGTGAAGTACAACGGTACCGTAGTGTCTTGTCTAATGGCTTGTTTGGAATACAAGCCTGGTTTTCAAGATGCACTGGAGATGCATTAACCTTGTTTTAATGTTGATGTACATCGAAATACCTGATCTCACTGACATCAGCTTCTACAGGAATACGTCCAGTTTTTAATACATACCTCTATGGTGCATCTGTATGCAACTCTAGCATCAAATTCATGTAATCAAGTAATAGATTACGAATGTCACTTCCTTTACCTACCCATGTGACTTAAATTTGCTGCTATTACGCAAAAAACTGGAGCGTGTTGAGTGCATAAAGCATTCTTTTTGTTGTCTATTGTGCAGTCCTTTCTGTGGTTCTCATATATTATTTCTTACTATGCTTTGTTCTCATGCAGCCGGTAGAGCATCCCCATGGTGGTGGTAACCATCAACATATTGGTAAGCCGTCAACTGTCCGTCGTAACACCCCCGCTGGTCGCAAGGTCGGTCTTATCGCTGCCCGTCGTACTGGTCGTCTGCGTGGATCGCGCAAAGAGAAGGACAGAGATTAAACATCTCATTCCACCCGACTTGCCAGGAAATAAATGCTTGAAAAAGAAGAATTTCCTGTGCTTTGGTTGTGAAGAGACACACTCGACCGTGTACGGTCTTGATGTATGTCTTTCCCTCGCTGTCCAGTTGTGGTTTAAGATTACCCTGCGGTAGTGGGATTCTTGCATGCAGACTGATGGCCGCATAACCATGATAACCCTCGGATATTGCACCTGTGTGGTTGCAGAATTTCACATCACATGACAACCCGTGCACATTTTTGCCATGTATTAAAGATATCAAAGCGAATATACCGTTAGCAACTGTTCGTAAATATTATGGCTGAGTTGGGATGCATTTTCAAAAAAATCTTCGGTGTTCAGGTGATACTGTAAATCAACGAATTTTGGCCGGTGAGAAACTCTGGCCGATCTCGAAATGAAACTTTTCGCTGTCATTTAACTTTGACCGATTGGGGTTTTCAAAGAGTAATCGATTGGTATTTGTTGCCCTCACATGCAGGCATGGCTCGGTCATGCATCATTTGCCTCTATGACAAATTTTGGCCTGCGATTTACTTTGTCCGGTTGGTACCCAGCGGCGCAATCAGCGAAATTAAATCGCCAGCGAGTGCATAAACAAGAATCTGGCCCATAGAAAAGAGATCACAGTTGCATACTAGTCTTGTTTATGGACTCTTGCTTACATGTACTTCGAAGTACTGGGTAGGCATGTGCAGTACGAGTACCGGCATGTATTTAACTGTACATGATGTCATCTGCGACTTTGCAAATCCATTCCTAAAATGCGATAATACTCATAAAAAGGGCACACTTCAGGAACATCTTGAAAGTTTGCGAAAATGCGTGGCCTATACACATAGCAATAATGACACAAAGGTGCAAGTGCGAGAACTCAATAAGCGTGACATGTAGTGTGACAACAAGAGACAACCACTGGACATAACTAACGAGGTTTTGACGACCTACATTACAGCCTATGTGTGAATTTAACTTGCTTCTGTATACATTCACACAAAGAAACCCAACCTTTGCAAGCAGAAGCAAATTAAATTCACTCTTATATTATGCTGTTAGGTAGGTCGTCAAAACCTCATCATTGCTACAGTATGTGTATAGGTCACGCATTTTCGCTGTTTACTTTAGCTATATTCTTCTTTGCGCTGTTTCACCACCTCCTTACTGTACTTAATCCACTGTTCCTGTTCCTTTTCCCTTGCCTGTATTTCACCTGATGAGAAGGCTTGAAAGTATACTTGTGAAACCAAAAACTTTCAAGATGTTCGTAAAGAGCCTGAAGTGTGTCCTTTTTATGAGTAATATCAAGAGTCCATAACTCTTGCAATTTCAATTTGGACTTCACGGAGAATTTCAAAGTTTTAGGAAATTAGAGGCCACATGCCACGTACTGCTCTTTTCTCTCCGAAACTCAACACTTGCAAGCCAGATACGGTATGAAATGTGACTGATGATTTTTTCTTTCTTTCATATCTGGCTTGCAAGTGTTGAGTTTCGGAGAGAAAAGAGCAGTACGTGGCATGTGGCCTCTAATTTCCAAAACTCTTGTTAATAATATCAAATTTTTAATAGGGCAATCCCCACCAGGCCTTTTACAGTGTACCCTAGGAAGCAAGGGTACTATTCTATACCCCTCTACCGTGGCCCTACTTGTAGGTCCTCAAGACAAGGGTAGCATGGGTACCCGACTACCCGTGCACACCACTAGTAATCACCGTGAAGTCGTGTATAAAGGCCGAGCGCGGCTTGACTTTTTGGGGGAATTTTTTCTGGCTAGCTTCTATTGGCTGTTGCCCATATATCCCTTGCACCAACACCATGATTCTCTTCTTTCTTAGCGTAGCTCGTATCCATATCCAGTGAATGGAATTCGAAAGCATTTAGCAGTAGCAGATTATCAGCTATATTTTTTATAGCGTAAGAAAGAAAGTCAAGTGGTGAACACTGGACTGAAAGAAATTTTGAAATAAGTACAGCAAGAGCAAATTGCATTTTACTGATTTATAAAATTAACATAAAAATATCTTTTTTTGTAAAACAAAATATCCTGAAGACCAATCGAATGCCTGGTTGGTCACACAGCTCATGAGCTTAGGATCCTAGAAAATAGAAAATGTATGATAGCTAAAATGGTATGTATCCTGTTATTAGGATAAATATTTTCATGGCCATGATCATTCAATGTTCTAAGGCAAAAGAGTTTTGAAGTGTACACACACACACACAGAATAAAGACAATGAAACAACGCAGCTAGCTATGAATTCAAATAGATTTGCATTATCGATATCAGTACAGTCCTAGCGGCATTTCAGGAACCTACGACACGGGTTTCACTACAATAACTAACAAAAGGGGAACTTGAACAACGCATTTGCTGACACTACAAATACGTGGACTGGTTAGCATAGACGACCACTCTGCTGTGCCCGCTCTCTGCCAGAGGGGTCTTTTCCGTCATGGACGAAACCAGCTTGCCAGTCGAAGAACCCGAGCGTATAAGAGTAACCTCAGCAGTGCCGGCAGCCATGTCACCTCCATCATCATCGTTCATATCAAACTGGTGGTAAGAGCTGGAGCCACCAGAAAACTTGTGGCCAAAGAAGATGTTCAAGGAGATGAGAACCAGAGCCCAGAAAAACCACTGCAAAGAACACAGAAATGAAACACGATTGATTGTAGCCTTGTTCGACGGTCTTGTTATGCTGATGGCAGTTCAAGTCTTTGAAACAATTCAACCAAATACAGTCAGACCTCGCTTATCCGGTCCTCGTTTATCCGGATCCCTCGCCATCCGGAAGAAAATCGCTGGTTACCGATGTGCAGCATATGTTATGCATACAACATAACCGGACCTCGCGATCCGCATACCGGTGCATGATTTTGTGTACAAACTGGTTAAAATGTGTACAAAAAGCTTCGTAGTATCCGGTAGCATGTGGCTTGCAGAAGCTAGAATCAGGGAGTTGTACAGGCGAATGAGGTCCTTGATCTGCTGGGTGCATGTGGACAGCACTCAGTTGCATGCACTTGTCATTTTTCTCGCTTGTTTTACATGTTGTGCACGCTAGTTGTACTGCATAGGACCCGTCTACATGTATGTACGATGTCACTGCTTTTGATATGCCACATGCATTATACAGTATGTGTGTTCAGTTATCCGGTTCCTTCGCCTATCCGGATATTTTTGTGGAAAACAGATGTGTGCGGTTAAGCGAGGTCTGACTGTACTCGAAAAATAAATTTATAATGGGAACACTGTAAAAGTCTGTTGATATTAATTAAGTACGTACTTACTTTCGTGGTCATACCCGTGCTACGTTTTGGGCGGGTACTGATTTTCGGGCCTGGCATGTGTGTGGTAGAGAAGTCATTTTTCATGTAAATGTACAATAATCATGCTAAGAGCTGCATGTGCGAACCACACCGGTACTTATTTCGGGCAGTATGGCTGAACTTGAGTTCAACAGACAGAGTCAAGAGGATGAAGGGGGTATTTATTCCCGTAGCTATGCAGAAGACGTTACTTCAGTAACGTCTGGCGCTAGCCAGGGTCCACACAGCTTTAATTTGGTGTTTGTTTGTGTGTTTGTTTGTGTCACGCCTGGCGCTATCCGTATCTGACGGCAAAAAAACATAGGATGTTATAAATTTTTCAATTCTCCTTTTTTTCAGGCATATCCTGGGATTCGAACCCGCACTATCGCCCTCCATGCATTCCCCCATACACTTCGCATTCATACCGTATCATTCTTCCAAGTTGCGTTACGTTATTATCTTGCGTTTGAAAGCCCTATTTGAATATTGCGGGAAGCTGTATGTGGCCAGCTGTGTTTGATGGTACGGTACGGTACGGGAGACGGTGTCGTATTACCCTCGATCGTACCTGTCCCGTCCCTATCCCCTACCGTACCGTGCCATCAAAGACGGCTGACCACAATGCATATAACTCAAATAGGGCTTTCAAATGCAAGATCACAATGTGAAACAACTTGGAAGAATTAGTATGTATGCGAAGTGCATCGGGGGATGAATGCAGGGCGCGCGATAGTGCGGGTTCGAATCCCAGGTTATGTCTAAAAAAAAGGAATTTTTTAAAGAATTTATAACATCCCTATGCTTTTTTTTTGTCTAGGTCATCAAGGCAAAAAAGCATAGCGTAGGGCCCTGAGCTTCCAAGCTCTCTCGTTTAGGGCAGGTACTTATTTACGGACGGTATTCGTACAGAGAACTGTGTATTCTACGTGTCACAATCGTATCATGTGGGTGGGCACACAATACAGGTCACAGTCGAACCCACTTTAAATAGGGGCCGTCCGTAAATACATGTATTTACTTAGAGACGTCTAACAGGCGTTTCTGGTGGATGGGTTCGCCTGCAAGGCGTTTCTCTAAAAAATACATTTCGGAGTGCATGCATACCATAGTCCATACCGCGTGTGTATACATGTACGTACATGATGTAGCACTGCTACAGCTAATGCAGGTAGGCGTTGAGAGTCTAGTGTTTAAACCGAACACAGATTCTTCGAACGAATAATCTATCGAATAATTTCGCCCTCCATCGAACGAATAATCTATATTCTATCATACACATGATGGCATTTTTCAACCTTTTTTCAGCACTTTTTAAGTAGTTTAAAATTTTTTTTTTCCTGATTATCAGATTTTGTTATGTGGAGGTGCAAAACCGGTTAACCTGTGCCGCCAAGAGTACATAACCCCCCAGAGTGTGCAACGCCTGATACAGCTCTGCATAGGGTCTTGGTCGAAAGTGGTCAAAGACCGAAAATCACATTCACTGCATCCATGTTTCCCTCGTATGGAAAGAACAGAAGTATTACTAGATACCGATAGGAGATTAAAACTTGGAGAAGAGTTTGAGAAGAAATACTACGAGCAAATCTACGCAGTGCAAATATCAGTAGGTACCCGGAAGAAATACTACGAGCAGATCTACGCAGTGCAAATATCAGTAGGTACTAGGTACCCGGGTCAGCACTGAGCATAGATCGTTTTTTTTTTCGATTTCTGATAATTCCTACGACTATTCGATTATTCGTTCACCCCACGAATATTCTAAATTATTCGATTATTCGATTATTCGTTTCAACACTAGTTGAGACGCACTACACTGCACGCGTCACAGCAGAGTAGACAGGGACACATGCTCTGTACTCCCAGGAACGACTTGTAGGTGTGATTTGGTGCGTTATAAACGAAAACTGTTCTCTCCAAGGGTCAATTTTGTATGGGTATATGTGTGCATAGCAGGGTGTTTATTATGAGTGGTACTTTCTGCAGTTTTGGGGGCGTTTCTGGGGGTGGGTGGGTGGATCAAGAAAGAAGCGCCTGTTAGACGTCTCTAAGTAAATACATGTATTTACAGACGGCCCCTTATAACGAACTCGCATATAGCGAATTCCGTATATAGCGAACCGTTGTTCACGTCCCTGTACGAACCCATACAAAATCGACCCGTTGTAACGAACCGTATCTTGAAGGGTAAAGCAAGTGTACTCATACGAGTAAAGATATGGGCCACATGCCAGTCACGACTTGCTGCTTGTATAGTGTGAGTGCCGTTTCTGTTAGTACAAACTTTGGCTATAAAGAACCAATTCTCCTGCACAATGGTGCTCCTTATATCAGGAGTCGACTGTGCACTGTACGGGTGGAACAACTTCTAACAGCTCTCTGCACCAGAAAAGGCAAAGCTCACCTGGCTGACTGCAGCAAAGAGTGTCTCACTCTCGTACGCCCACCACGGCGGGTCAGACTGCGACGCTTGATCGTACACCCACCAACCGATCATGCCGGCAGCTTCAATGGGATTGATGAACCTGTACAAGAAGGACACACATGTAGACAGCATGACCACCCGCAGCACTCAATGCGCACTGCACACACAAGTACAGCTGCGCTTGGTGAAGACTGACCCAAAGTGCAAAACTGGTGCTCTGAAACAGTTCTGGCTACATCACTCACTGCATTTGTAGTTTTTGTACATAGGCACGTCCAGCCACATCGGTACCATTTCCAGGGTGCTAAGGGCAGTGCAAGTCGAGGGCGGCAACTATGCCCTTTGGGTTGGAGTTCACCGAGTGCAACCGTACTACTACAGGAGCACAGTTTAGGATGGGAGGGGTTAGACTGCAGCACAGAGAAGGGTGCGACAGAGATGACTGCGGCAAGACTAGTGGCACCAATCCAGAGCAGGAAACCGTTGCCATACACCCCCACCAATAGCTGTCAACAGACCCGTTTCTGCAGCGGTTTCAAAAACAGGCCCAGCTCGAGACCGTCAGACGGGTGCCAGTACCAAGGCCCTGAAGGGTCAGGAACAGGCACGACAAATCTGAAGCACTGGAGCCAGTAATAAGCAGGATGAGAATCGTACACTGAGCCCTGCAGTGACAAGCTACTGTCTTCAACCTCGCAATGTGAGTCCTGGCAGAAATGAAGCATCTCATAGTAAACTGTACAGTGCATGCTTTAGAGTTGACATGCTCGCCATCATACCAAGGAGACGTTTGGGTCAAAAAAGCACCGCAGGAATTTATTTCGGGCTGGGGTTGAAAACTTCAACTGCCTCTCAATCCCGGGCCCCCGAGTATTCTAGGTTGTACTTATGTATTCTCAGAGTAGGGCTAATTCCAGAAAATACTGAAATTACTTTTAAAAACCTTGACTACACGAATATGCCAGTGCAAGAACAGGCGAAAACAGTCATGCACTCTTTTAGCACTCACGTCACAAGAAATGCCCAGAGAACCGGCAGCTTCCAGTCACCCATTCCGTACTGTAAGAGGCAGGGAAAAAATGGAAATGATTGAAACATCAGCTGAGTGCACTTGAAGAGTTTAGAAGCAAAACGCGACATATCCACTTGTGTGTGGGTTGCCTGCATCACAGGTCTCAACAAACGGTGCGATGAGGACCGGGTTCTAGTTGACTTGAGCTAGTCGCGGATGGAACAGGAGTGTTTGAGTGGATCTGGGACAGTTCACTCACAGACACTGCACATACCATCATCACATGCACGTGGGTGATGGTGCGCGCTGTAGCTTTGACAACGGGCAGATCGTTTCCTTGCCACGTGACTCCCGGTCGACTTGCTCTCAGTTCGTGGCACGTTTCTCTCGTGCTCATTCTTGACATTGTCCTGGGCTTGACCAGGTGCTAGTAGCCAGTGATTGGCAACTCCCTGCGATTGAGGTAAGACAAGAATGCTTCCAAAAATCGTGCTACACTCCCCTCCGAGGAATTGGGAGAGTGCTCCGTAGGGGGGGGGGGGGGGGGGGGAAGAAGGAGGAGGAGAAGGATTTCCTACCACTCTCCATTGAAAACAAATTGTTCGTGCTCCTGGAGCTCCTGGATTTTCTCACATGAAGGTCTGGTACTTACCTCATTCACCACTTCTTTGCGGAAGCGGTTTGCTCCGGCCATCATGTTGAGGCAGCCGTTGCCTTGACCAACGTGAGTGCCGTACCAGAAGACCAGAAATATCAGACACATTCCCGACAGGATGAGACCAAATCCCCATACAAAGTCCTGCAGAACAAGACAACAATGAAAGAGAGAGAGAGAGAGAGAGAGAGAGAGAGAGAGAGAGAGAGAGAAAGAGAGAGAGAGAGAGAGAGAGAGAGAGAGAGAGAGAGAGAGAGAGAGAGAGAGAGAGAGAGAGAGAGAGAGAGAGAGAGAGAGAGAGAGAGAGAGAGAGAGAGAAAGAGAGAGAGAGAGAGAGAGAGAGAGAGAGAGAGAGAGAGAGAGAGAGAGAAAGAGAGAGAGAGAGAGAGAGAGAGAGAGAGAGAGAGAGAGAGAGAGAGAAGAGAGAGAGAGAGAGAGAGAGAGAGAGAGAGAGAGAGAGAGAGAGAGAGAGAGAGAGAGAGAGAGAGAGAGAGAGAGAGAGAATTGTACATTAAAATACATGTAGACAATGAGAGAAAGAACACAGAAGCTAAGAAGCTAGCCAATCGCCTTCAGGCTCTGGGGAAGACAAACTGCTCAATGGAGAAACATGGGTCAAAGCATGGCAAGCGCAGATCACGATGAGGGGATGAGGACAAACCTGATTGACGAGCACATTGATGTTTAGGGACGAGGGCAATCCCAGCAGTGCAACCACAACAGCCACGCATGGCAAGGCATACTTCCGCTTGGCTGCAAACAGGGACACGATAGAAGGAGAACAGAAGACGGAGCACAATACTCAATAGTGACACAGCAACACATACCCAAAGTGCTCCTTTTGCGCTACAGTGGTATATGTACAAGTGTACTTGACGTATTAGAGAGGTTTTGCATTCCGAATTTCGCAATTATTTTCGGAGTGTGGCGGCAAGAGTCGAAAAAGTAGTCGAGCTTTCGGAAGTGTGGTGGCGAAAGTGCATGGTTTTCCGAAAATGGATTTTCGGCTCTTTCCTGTTTGGGAGCGCATATTTGAATATTTTTCATGTGTGTATTTTTGTTTTCTGTTGCTCTCGCTGATTATATTTGAAAAATTTCCACGTGTGTAGTTTTGGTTTTTGCTGGTTTTGCTGCTCTCACCATGTTGACTAGATCTTCTCACACTCCATCACACTCTATCTTCCTTTGCCATGGAGCCTACTGACAGTAGAAGACAGTAGTTTGTCAACCTCGTCTTCAGCCGTTGGATCACTCGGCCCACCATCAGTCCGTCCTCGTCTTCGAACCGCACCCAAATTCAGTTTGACCTGCCCATGGATTTGATCCTGCTCAGGCAACTCCTATTTTGTGCTCAACCCCTTTGTTCGCGGCTCTGTGGGATCCGAGTAGACTGCAAAAGTTCTAGCCTCATCTGACCCAAAGTTTGCTTCCACACGCTGCATGCTAGCTGCTGTTGGACCAGCACGCCTCAAAACCGAATTTGCAAGATTCGGACGCAAAAAGTTTTCGGTTTTGGCGCCTTCGACGCTCTCCATTTTGTTTTGCATGGCAATCCTTGGAAACGAAGTTGAATCAGATTTTCGGAATGCAAAACACTGAAAATGCCGTTTTTCGGCACGCACTTTTTTTCGGAAAGCACAGTCGAAAAACATTCCGAAATTCGGAATGCAAAACCTCTCTATTATCTCCTTTTCCTAGTTCACTGTCTCAACCATTTCGCTTTCCTCTCCATATTGCCTGCCTAGATGTTGTGTAGTCCTTCCTTCCTCTTTCTAGGCTCCGTTGTTTGCCATTGTTTTATCAGGTCATAATTCCGCTCAAACAGGTGAAGTAGAATAACAGCTACAGCACGGACTACTTACCACTCTGCATGTACAGGTTCCTGCACGAGTACGAGGGCAGTACCGCGGAATCCAGCCCGCGCCGCGATAGCGGCAAGGGCTGGATGAACAGCGGTACTGGCCGAGTATGAGTGACTGGAACGTGTTTCCCGTGTGCACCCAAGCCAAATAAAGAGATTCATGACAGACACACGTACACCTGCATTGTGTTTTGTGATTGTTTTTTGTACTTCTTGAAGTAGTAGTCCATAGTGCTTTTTTTCTCGTGGTGCCATTGACATTGTCGACTGGGCATCGGGCATTCTGGCTGTTCTGTTCCTACGGATTTTTCCCACGTCTTGATCGGAAACCTCGGCGGGTCTTGCAGGTTGCTGAGCATTGCGCACTTTGGTTGAGGCTCATCCGGCTCGTCCAAGATCTCCTTCGCGAGCGACTCCGCAGTAAAGGTTCCGTCTCTTCCTCAACTTTTCGGAGGAGCTCACTCACATTGCCAATATCGTTCAACAAAGGGGCTTCTTTTCTCACAGTTCCAGATCAAATGTTGGAGCGCCATGATGACAGTTGTGGTTGCAAACAGTCGCTCTTCTGCTTTAGTTATTTTATTAGTCAGCTCTTTTTTTTGATGTTTTTGGTTTTACACTTAGTCGCCCTTTCCGCGCAATCCGGTGCCTTGTATTTTATGAAACATGCGGCAAGTAACCAATGAAAGACCATGAAGTAGAGAGTCAGTCCAGTGGCTACTGCCCGTCATCAAGTGACGACGGGCAGTGGAATCCGTTCCTGCCCGTCGTCACTTGACAACGGGCAGTGGATCCAGTTCCATCACCAGTTTGAGCAGGCAGGACAGCGCTTTCCAGCACGTGCTGTTTGATCTGTCATTGGTCAACTCCAAGGCGACAATCACGTGACATACGGGAAATTCAAATTTACAGCACCACCATAGCATTCTGCAAAGGCTTCCCGATTTTCCTCCATGATTGTCTAAAGGGTTTGCCACTTACCACCAAAGTCTTCCAACGTTCGAATGACCAGCTCCATCTGTGCCACCATAGAGCTGAGGCCAGCAAAGACCAGGCACAGGAAGAAGAAGACGGCCAAGGCTCGCCCACCAGGTAGCAAGTTGTACAGCGTTGGTATCCTAAGCAGCAGAGAGAGAGAGGAATACCAGGAAGAGAAGTCAGAGAAATTCGGATCCTTCACTCTTGAATAACGCCGCCAACTGCAACTGAAGTGTGAAACACGGCACTGGCATGAACATTTCACGCGTACACCATGCTCAGCCCTTAGGTCGAATAGATCACTTTTCACTTCTCGCTGTTTTCGATGACTGTGTTGCAATTCCTCTTGATGCTCTTCGAAGTTCACCATTATTCCTTGCAAAGTGTACTATCATGTTGTCTGTTGCAAATAGTAAAGAAGTTCCAAACAAATTTTTTATTTACAACAACAGCAAGAAGGCTCCATTGTGTCAGTAACAACAAAACAATTCATATCCTTCCACACCATGGTTCTGCCTTGATGAAAAAAAGGTTTGACAGGCGCTTGATGAATTCAATACGCACCGGTAAGTTAGTCTGTTGAATCTTTTTTCAAAAATTGTGTATGCACGACTCCTTCTACATGGCCCATTGGATGTCAGTGATCCCAAATTCAATTTCCAATACTTCGAAGTAGTAGCAACACTACTCCCAATACGCATACGTACCATATGAACGTCAGGCCGGTGTTGGCTTCTCCGTTAGATGACAGGATTTTGACGATCTTCTTGAGGTCCTCCGGCTCATCTGGATTGAGATGTTCCTTGGCTACTTGGACGTGGAACACAGTAGCCATGGTTGTCATAGCGCTGACCAAACTGTGTACACAAAGAGTCGAGACATACAAGCAAACAGGCATAGGGATTAGGGACACATGACATTGAGAGTCAGTTGGTCAGACAGATGGACAGACGGACAGGCAGATAGACAGACAGACGGATGGACGCAAAAAAAATAAAAGACGCCACACAGCAGGAGCAAGGCAGAATGATGGCAGACCACTCTCGCTTTAGCCTTACCCAATGCACCTTCACGCCACGGTTTCTACGCTTTGCTGAAGGATGGAATTCTCTCCTACCCGACTTCTGCAAGGCAGCCTCTTTTGCAACAGCTAATGGCCTATAATGCTGCGTCATTTACTTCACGCATACATGTATGCCTAGGGTAACCTGCAACAAGACACATAGTCTGTGGGGACTTCCCTTGTAACATAAATACAATACAGTGAAGCCTGTCTAATCCGACCGCTCAAGGGACCTTCAAAACGTGGTCTCTGTAACCAGGTGGTCTCCTCATCCAGGGTCATTTGACTGGAAATAGCATCCCTTGGTCATAGTTTCAGTGGTCCTCTTGGACAGGTGGTCACCTTGACAGGCTTACAGTACATACAATCATGTACATGATACTGATGAATAGCACAAGTACACTAGTATCAGAGTTCTGACGATCCGTGTCTTCTTCAGGACTTTACAAATCTAACCTGTACCAGCTAGACATTCAGCTAGTATGCCACTGAGAGTGAAGGCAAGCCTGTTCAAGCTAGATTACGACACTGTACGAACGACACAACACAAACGTACCTGACCACGTTGTTGCACAGGGGTATTAGGCAGCCAAACTTGACAACTCCACTCTTGCGCGGCATGTAGATCGAATAGACTATGAACAGACCAGCCCCGGCACCTGCACGGCCACAAGCATATCATCAAGTAAAGAAAAACAACATCACTACTAGTGGTGACAGTCATTTTCTTCTCTAGACTTTTCCCGCTTGCATCTTTCCCTCAAACAATTGAATATCACTGCTACATTATAGAAGAAAACCATAGGTTAGTGGTAGAGCATTGCTGGCCATAGCGAGGGTCCCTGGTTCGAGTCCTGGTGGTGGCAGTCAACTTTCTTCGCCGTGCCGAAAAATGCTTGCATCTTCCTTCACGATGATGACAGTATCCTGCGAAAGTATCGGTAGAAGATCTATAATAGAACTACCCATGATATTATAACGCATCAATGCTAGGCAAAACTAACCTGTGTCCCAAGCATTCTGTGATATGGCATCCACCCACAAGCGAGCCTTGCCAAATTGAGCTGCAGCCAGGAAACACAAGTTGTAATACCAGACGCACACAAACACATCAGAATCCAAAACAATCTAAGCAGAGGCTCCAAGAGCACTATTAAAAAGACTGTTGAGAAAGTAGTCAACTAGATTGTCCAACTACTTGAACTTACACGGCCATGCAAGAATTACATCACACCCAGTCTCTGGGAGAGCGGTTTCACTGTCTGTATAGCCACGTGTACATGTAGGTCTCTAAGCACTAGTTGTGGGACACAGCACATGCACATGTAGGTCTAAGCACTAGTTGTGGGACACAGCACATGCACATGTAGGTCTAAGCACTAGTTGTGGGACACAGCACATGTACATGTAGGTCTCGAAGCACTAGTTGTGGGACACAGCACATGTACATGGCTTACACCATTCTGGCCGGAAAAGATACTTGACGCCCTCGATAGCATCTTGCAACGTCATAGCGTAGATGAAGGAGCCAAAGACGATGGCCAACAGGATCGGAACAAAGATCATGTTGACCTTCTCAAACGTGCTAACACTCCTCGAAATGATGAGCGCCACAAAGAGAACACTGCAGCAGTGAGTCAGGACGGGGTAGTAACTGTTCTGCTCGCACAAACACATGGCAACAAACACCAAGAAATGAGTACACTTGTTACAATCATCAGTTTCAGAAGAACCAGAGCCCTGGCTGAACAAAGGGTTTCAATAGGAGAGCAGTGGGCACAGTTACAACATATTCACAACATGCAAAGCAACGGTGTATCACCGGGATTTCAGGTGACCGGGCCAAATGGGATACTTGACCGGAAATGAACATTATTGATGAAAAATCCCGCTCTGCACGGATTGGGTGGGTGGGTCAATGTTTTTGAAATATGGCCTGACCGGCGGGACCGGGCGCTACAGCCTTGCAAATACAGTACACATTGTAGGCATAAGGCTGAGATGTGCAGGTGTCCCTCATTGCATTATGAATGCCATAACAAGAGAACTTAGATCCCCACTGAAAAAAGGACATTCCATCCAAAAATTGAATAGGGGTTCAACGATGGCCAACGCCTTCCCGGGTCACAAAAGGAGTTTGCTCTGCACCAAGTAGAACCTGATCTTGAGGGCGTGGTTTCCTGCTAAAATGCTCTTTGATGACGTCGGCAGTGCAGCGCCTACACACAGGTTTAGGTGGAACGTGAACAAGGAACCCAATTCCTGGAGCCCCGAAACATTCGTTATTCCCAAACTGCAGTGGGTGTGATATCTTAGAGCTAGTATTAGAATGTCCGTCTGCTCTCTTTGGTACAGGGATAGTTTTCTCTTTTCTCTTTGCACATACTTCTGGAGTACATCACGTCTGGTTCTGTGTTTTTATAAAGTACTGTCTGACGACCTTTTAAAAGACCTTACCGACATTGAATTGAAGATTTCCGTTGACGCTTCGACAGTTTCCGGTAGAGGGAAAGCAATGACGTGTATAAAATAGTACATGCACCATCCGAGCACAACCGAATAGTAGCAGCTACAGAAGAAAAAGAGGCACGGAGCACCCAGCAAAGCATTAAACACACGCGCATGCGCGCGCACACACACACACATGCACACACACACACGCGCGCGCACACACATACACACATGCACACATACAATCTGGCCTCACTGTGCATGCATATGCTTCCGAATCAATACAACCTGTAAGGAAGCAGTCTAGTCAAGTGGAATCAGCAACACAGTTATCAGTATGCATCCCCTCCACCCCCCCCCCCCCCCCCCCCCCACACACACACGTGTACCACACATGGCAACACACATAGAGCAGTTGAGGACGCTGCCAAGACATGTACTTCAGTCAAGCAAAGCGTATAGGTTATAACTTATAACTACACACTTAGTATAAAGTTTCCACACGGTTCGTACCAAATGCCCAGGTTGACCATGAAAACCCAGCCTCCGACCCAGCGATAGCCCTTGCCCAGCATCACCCCGAAGGACTCGACCGGGCCGCGGCGTGTGAAGCGACCAACACTGTACTCGATCAGGATGACCGGTATACTCCATAGCATCAGGAACATGAACCACACGATCAGGAAGACAAGGCCACCTGCACAAAACAGATCGTGCGCACATGCAGCAGTCCCGGGACGCACAAACAGAGCACATTGTGGCAAACAACAATTGCAATTTTTTAAATCACATGTGCCTTGAGTACAGGCTAATTCGCTGCACTATTGGTGCACTTTTCACCTGACGCAGTCAAAGCCCATTCTCACGTCAAAATCTTGTAATAAAAAACACCAACACAAGAATGATACACAGTACAGTTGCATACATAAGCGGGCAATGAAGCACTCACATGTTGTGTATGTACAACTGTACATGCACCGTCAACTGCTCATATGCCAGCTTCCAATTTTCGGTATACATGTACTAAAAAAGGTTGAAGAAAGGCTGCTTATCCCTGTTGGGCCGATATGAAAGCGTACGCATAAAAAATGTACCTTGAACAGTACAACGTTCCTTTGTCAGCAGGAAATTGAGATTATTACGTCCGAAATCTACATTGTACACGGGCCCCGTTGCGCAGAAGCCAATGGTATGATCAGATACGATAAGGTTTCTTTTTGAGGCTTACACAGGGTCTAGGGCATTCTGTGAGCAGCAAAATGTTGATGGTACACACATGGGAAATTTTTCAAGGAAGGAGTCTTTATCGTCACCAGCCTAGGTCAATATCAGAGACTGGTTCCTTGTGTTGCATTGGAGTGCAGTGGCAGTCGTGTTCGTTCTTTTTCAGAATGGTCATGGACATTGTTTGAGTACTCGAGCTCCGGGTCTGTGATCGCGTTGAATTGTCTCTCGTGCCTGTGTAGTTCCCTTTGTATGGCAATTTGGAAACCACCGTGATATCCTGCCTCTTCGTATTGCTTGAAACCCTTTCGTTTCACAGTCTCACAGCACTGACAAAGACCTTCGTTGAGCTCTTGCTGCTTTACTTTTTTCCTTCAAGTCACAGGTGATGCTCACTGACTTCAGACATTCTTCGAACACTCGCATCCATAAAGCTGTTGTTGCGTCGATTTCGGCATACATGCAGTCAAGAGCTCTTCCAGGTCCTTATCTGTTATCGAAGAAATTTTTTTGGCGGGTGGCTCCATATTTGGGAAACAAGTAGGTAGACACATCACAAAAAAGGTATTTTGAAAGTACAGTTGAACATCAATTATCCGACCACCACCTCTGGGCAGCGGGCCCTGGGCATGGGTTTGGGTAATGTTCCGGATAAGGAAAATCTCACCACAGGCCGATACCTGTGTTCGGTATATCACAGTATCCTGTATACAGTGGTACAGACAGCGAGTGCGCGCTGCAGCAACTAACTTTTCGTGCAAGCTCCCATTCGAAAATGCGTAGCCTGAGCCATGTGCGGTTCGAAAACTCATTCCGGATGATCGATGTTTAACTGTAGGTGCATGCCAAACAAAGTACTGTACCGCAAGAGCGCCCCATCTCACGGCAGTGCCCCACTTTGACTTTACAGCCAGGAAAAGAAAAATCCTACGGCGGAGTACAACTTCAAGTTGTAAGTTTGTACGGTCCGAGAACCGTAGTGTACTAGGGTCACACATAGCATGGTCTTGTGTGGAGTTTGCATCCGTTCAAAGATAAACTGAGAACAGGACTGCAGCACATACAATGGGTGTCAAAAGTATGCGTAGTATAACCAAGAGTACATAAGCTACCAAGACTTGGCAAGAGTGTGCAACTCCTGATACCCTTTCTATGGGGTTCGCTGACGGCGAAAACTCACATTGCGTGGTGTAGTGTTTCCGTTGCACGTTTCCAGCCCGCTTTTAGCGAGCAGCAGAGTAATAAAAAAAGCATTCCCTAACAGAAACTCACTGCGCGTATGCAACTCCTCAGCATGATCATGGCAGATATTCGGATTGTGCGCGCTATCCTTTGATGTACGTAGTCCAAAACGTACATTATTATAATTTATTGTATTTTTAATAGGGCATTATTATAATTTATTGTATTTTTAATAGGGCATTCCCACAGGCCTAAGGCCTTCTTACGGGGTACCCTATATGTACATGAAACACGTTATGGAGGTTTTAGCCGTTGGATACCCCATATGCAGAGCTACACATTCATGGGAGCCTATTTACACTTGGTTACTAGTAACCTACAGACAGGAGTCAGGACACGTACCACCTTCACAACACGGCCACGAAAGGACGAGGTGGTGAGGCGCTCTCGCGGTACTTGCGCAACCCACCTCATCGCAGCTGCACCAGGAATGGAGCGGTAGCGACTGGGTGCGCATGCACGCCACCCCTAAAATGGATGACGGGCATGCGCAGCCAATCGCCACCGTACAAACCTGACGCAGCTGCACTGGGCTGCAAGAGCTCACACAAACAGGTTTTCCTACATAACTAGTTGTAGGCACTTTATTGTGCCATCAATGCCACTGTGGGGAAAGTCGCTCATTGGCTGCAACCATGGATATGGTACGGTAAAACGTGAAAGTACATGTCACGTGAATCAAGGCTAAATGTACCGGTTGCACAATGGTTTAATGCACACCATGTGTTGAAGATACGGGTATATTACTGTACAAGCAGTCATGGTCATTGTTGAATCTTACCAGTATCACCTGCATTGTTCGCAACGATTCTTGGGAATCTCCAAATATTTCCAGTCCCCACAACACATCCCAGACACGATAAGCATAGAGCTATCGTATTGGAGAACATAGGCTGAATAGAACCAAGAGAAAAATCACTACAATAGTACATAAAGGGATATCAAAATTCCGAAATTCAATTTGACCTCCCCATTGCTTCTTACTGGTGGGTCGTGCGCCATCGTTGCCTCGATACAACTGGTCGCCAACTTCCACGGCCAGATGCTCCAGAGGTTTTGATGGATAAGCCTTACAAGTTCCTCTCTAGAGGATTCGGACTCCTGGCATCGTACGGTAAATGTAGCACCTGTAGCCAATTTAAAAGCTTTGCAGTACTCTCACACAGCCGACATTAATCTATGGAGTTCTGGACACATGGTGGTAGGGAAACAGATGGTTTGAAGTTTTTTATTATTTTGTTGGCGCTAGTGCAACTAGTGGCAGTGCCGTAGTGGTGGACAGGGACGTCAAGCTACTACATGTTGTAGCTATCTCAAAACTCGTGTTGGTCCACACTCCACAGACTCCATCATTCAAATCCGGGGCTGGCTGGCGTCTACCAGGTCTACCATGGTCTACAGTACAGGTCTACCATGGTCTACAGTACGGTATAGCGGTAGCGCATGCAAGACGTAGCATGCATGCAGGTGTAGAAGGATACCGTGGGACGTGGGATCCATGTGCATGTGTGGAGTATATGCACGCATGTCGTGACTCATCAAATCATCAGCTTGCATCTACACAATGATTGTGTGTATATCGCCATTGCATATTGTCGGCTAGCTGTCATCACGACATCAGATCATGTCATGGTCACATGTGTCTGGATCGAGGAGTCAGGACTCAGGAGTTACGCTCGTGAGACTCATATGATCAGATCTTCTATGATAGATCACATCACATTCACAAGCATTGAATTAAATATTTGAAGCAAGAGTACATGTATACGCAACCCCATATGTACTCTTGATTGAAGCAACCACCACACAGCACAGTCTCTTCCCTGTTCCAAGCCAGGTAGGGATGAACAACAAGTCATACAATCATACTCTTGGTAGTAACAATGAGTTCAGAAGAGCTTGGGGTATTCAGGACCGGCGGCAGCAATTTTTGGTTGGTCCGGCCATACTGTAGCCTTTCATACTTTGTGTACGGTACGGCGAGTAACCATGACCTCCTAGATCCTCAGCAGTACACATGTGTCAGCTGCCAAAAATCTGGTCTGGCCATGCTGGGCTGACCAACCGGACCAGTTCTACCGTCCCTGCGAAAACCAGGGAGTCGTAAAGTACGACGCCCTGGCGAAAACTACTAGTACTTCTTGAATGGATTTCATGCATAAACTATTACTTGGCCCCCTACTGTAGAGATGCTGTAAGAGTTGGATACGCATGTGTCCATGCGCACTTGTGACACAGGCGCAGGTCATGTCAACGCCACAGGCTTCACAGTTTTTTTCGCAACCACCCTGGGAACAGTGAGCGGCTCAGCCTGTCTAGAACCTCCGCCATGAGCCCTGCCACTGAACTGAACACACATGAGGCTGAAGCTCAGTGAAATCTGACAATGGACAATGGCAGGTGTTTGCGAGGAGGAGATAATTTCGCAGTTCCAAAAACAGGTTCAATGCATGCAAATTTGAATTCCGGAAAGAAAATTATGCGAAAATATCAGGATACTAGAGCTAGAATTAATTGATAATCTTTTACAATGATTGTGAGCCAGTGAAATGAAGAAAATAGTTTCACAACACATCGTAAAATGAAGATGATGAAGTAGTGGCCAGCTGAGAAGCTGGTCAACTCTGCTGGCAAAAGGGTGTGGGAAATCTATACACAGTGTAAAAAGGGGGAAAGAGAGAGTGAGAGAGAGCAGGGAGCAACATGCGGTATAGGCAGCAAGCATCCAACACGATTCACCGCCAAGACCACAGGAAATAGCACAAGCGGCCAAAGAATCACCCAAGCTTTCCTCGCAGAGTTCAGTATAATGGGAGAACAGCTACAACCAAAATAAGCCCACCACTAACCCAGTATCGTGGCCCTTTATATCAGACATGTGTCCGACCGTTCGACAGTTTGAATCTTAGCTGGTTCTGCTGCGATATCCAAACTCATTGGCATCATCAGCAGTCACATCGCCATACACCCACATTGCCACCTAAACAAACAGACAAAAAGAAAGGACAAATTACTATAAATATATTGTTCACTGGTTCGAGGGAAAGACGCAAATATGGTGTTAGCGGACATTATAGTGTAGCTTGTAGCTCCTTGGTCCTTCTCTTTGCTTTAAAAGTTATCAGAAAGACGGATAAATACATTGATTGATAGAGAGCGAGAAAGAGAACAAGGAGGAGGAGGAGGGTGAGGATGAGGAGGATGGGAAGAACACAGATACGTTGTCAGACTTACTCGGTCAGTGCGTGCCTTCTGTTCTGAAGCAACATAGTCAGAAACAAGCTTCTCCAGCCGCTTGTCACGACGCTTATCAACGATGATGAGACCAGCGAGTAAGAGACGTTTGCAAATGTCGGAGACTTCGGCGCCGCTGTCATGCAGGCTAACGTATGGCTAAACATAAAAATAATAAAGCATGGAGAAACACAGAAGTAAACAATGAGCGGATTGCTGAAGCAGGATAGCTCATTAAATATACCACAATGATGCAGCACTAAAAACTGAAAGTACCCAAGCACATTTCAAATAAAGCCTCACATACTGCAACACATTCGTATTATAATTTATATATTAGAAAGGTACACACAAGCCTCCTCAGGCCATCAACGGGCAGAACCAGAACGTGCACAAGATCGACAACGTACATGCTACCAAGCTCAAATCAGCATTTAAAAAAAAGTATCTCACCGTTCCTTGCACACGATACTCAACATTCATGTCCAATTCTTTTCCTTCAACGGCAGACTGGAAGGCGATAAGTGAATCCTCCTGCCAGTCCTCCTACATACAGACAGCAGGTGGAGAGTGAGGGAGGGAGAGAGAGACAAATGCAAAATCGATGAGAATCCATGCATTTGCAGAAATGTTCACACTTCGAGTCATGCAGCATACATGTCATCCTCCCTATTAATTTTCACATACACAATATAGGTTGTGGAGCCACACCACACAGCTAACTGCCATGGACCGATAATTGCTATAAACGTATCAAGTTCTTCACTCTTACCTCGGGCGGAGGGCGTGCACACGCGAGACTGAATAGTGTGGCTTGAGCAGGCAGGCTGTATGAATAGAACATAAAGACAACGTGGGTGAACTACATGTATAAGGCTGTACCAAGAGTACATAATCAAGCGTTTGCAACTGTGGTAGAGGGTCCGTGCGCGGCGCACTGCCTTCATCACGCTCTGAAAGCATGCACTCAAACCCACAATTTCTCGTACCAGAGCATCCGCTTTTTTGCTCGATTCGTGCCAGTACTGATGTGATTTCTAAATTTGGGCGCGCGAGCTCCAGTTCCGTACGAAAGTTCATTTCAAACCAGAGGGAAAATGTGGTGTGTTTGATTATCCGCAGTGCACGGACTGCAGCTGAATGATGTAATGAAGGCAGCGCGCCGTGCATATGGCCCACAGAAAAGAGATCACAGTTGCGCATACCGTAATGTATAAAAGCTGTGCTTATTCCTGTAGAAGCCAATGTCAGTACTAGGCCTCTATTCGAACCACGTATCTCTCTGTATGTCAACACTAAACCAGGCTTATGTGCTGACAGTGTATCTTCAAAATCAGACTTCTATTCAAAACAGGCTTCTCTACAAGACACTATAGTACTCTTCTTTACGGACTCTTGGCTGTACAAATAGAACATCGAAACAGTGTGGGTGAATACATGTATAAGGACACAACTTAGCACACCTGGATGATTCCCGCGCAAATTGCACTGCTAACATGGCCAGCCCCCCATTGGCCACATTGGCCACTGGTAGTGTGCATGGACTGCAAAGTGAAGACGCTGATCTTAGCCTCACAAGAGATGGTTGATGTGAATCCATAACTGCAACACATTGATTGAGCTAGCACACCCAAGCTCTGTGACTCCCCAACTCTATGTCGTCAACAAAGCCAGTCCTTATAAACGAGGAAACGGCCATGGCGTGTGCAAAGGAAAGAAAAAACAATCTCAATCTCAAAGCATCAAGAGGACAAAACTAGCTGAGTGCCCAACATACCTGGAGCATTTGGAGGGCAGTGGACAGAGAGTTGTTACACGCTGTGTCTCTTTCTGCAAGGCAAAAGCACAGCACAACACCGTAGAAAATGATTCATGCACAAGGAAAGAAAGCAAAGAGAAGAAAAACAGCCGGGACATGCTTTTAGACAGCACAGAAAGCTACACACATGCCCACACAGCATAGTACAAAAATTACTGAATGTTATATAAGAACACCAGAGAATGCAGCACAGGTTCTCACGTTTCCATAGTCCATGTAATGCAGCTGGATTTCGTCCTTTGAAATGATCTTCTCAACCTGAACACGGTACCTTTATGAAGGTCCACAACGGCAGAAACAAGCAGACAAAAAGACAATCAACAACTTGCAAGCGGGCACGCCCTCCCTCAGCTCTCCCCGAACCATTACTAAGGACACGGTGAACTGTTAGCAACTACAATCAACACACTTCTATATTGCGAAATCGCTCCCTAGCTGCACTGGGCAGTCATCATGATGCAACCTCATCAACAGCGAACAATGTGAGTATCTGGCAAATTGCAAGTGTCCGTTTGGGCCAAAGCTGACACCCTCCCCCCCCCCCCCAAACCTAACAGACCCATCAAGGATAATTTTCTGAAGTCTGTCTCGGTACTCTCTTTTCAAATGGCATGCCCCGTGTTCTCTAACACCTTGTTGTAGAAGGAACGTAAAGTGTTGCTCAAGCAAGTCCGAATGCGTGACTGCGTTAGCACCGGGTACTGTGCAGCCACAGCCCTGAAAGCACAGGGCCGTGCACTGGTGCAAGACGCTACCTTCTTTATCAGTGCGAATTTCATTTAGCGCATATTTTTAAAATACACAATAAAAAGTAGAATTCTTCCTCTGCTCACACACGTGGTGGGCAGAGCTTCCGAACACAGAGGGAAGAACAAAGTTTCACCTGGAACTAGAGTTCCAGGCAAGAAGCAATCATCAGACCACAATTCTAACAAAGCACATGTAAACAGTACTAGGCGTTACATGCACATGTACTTACCACTGGCCGTCACTGTACTTTGCAGCACATTTGTCATTGCGCTTCGGTGAGTATGCACCAACAGTTGGGGGATTCGCGTTCAGCTCGGTATTCAGTGCGTCCATGAGGCCTTCCAGCTGTGGACCGTTCTCGACCTTCTGTACGTAGAAGCTGGTGCTAGATTCGGCATGTGACACAACGACCTTCTGATAGCTGACCTTGCGATCTTTGTCATCACTGACAGCTTCTTCCTGTGGTACCTCCTGTGGGGGTTCGTAGTTCAGCCAGATCTACAAGCAGACAAAAGTAATAACACGAAACGTGTACACGTGCATGGTAAACCTCAGAAAGAGATGGATGGCACAGAAATGGGATACTTTTCAGGTGCACCTAGAAACAAACCATCTGCCTTCAGCATGAGAATTCACCACCTTGACACAGTGAGTGAAAGCTGAGCTAGGAGCCTCCAGATAGACACCGCTCTGCCTCAAAAGCCCGGAAAAAGGGATCATCACCAAGGAGAGAGAGAGAGAAGCAACTCACCTTGTCACGGCCCTTCTGTGCTGCAGCTTCCGCTGCATACAGCTGAGATGAGAATGGAGATTTGTCTGCAGAGAAGTGAACCTTTGCCAGGCTGCGGGTCACAAGCTCGAGGGACACGTTCTTTTCGTCGATGAGAGCCCAGCCAATGAAGTTTCCGGCACGATCTACGTTATCAACTTGGATAGAAATCTGCGAAGGAGGATAATCAACACCAGCACATAACATCGATCATGAGTAAACAGATTGCGAAAGGAGCCTCATACAAAATAACGAAGCACAACAAGAGCAAAATTGCAGAATATACCCAGTATACAGGCATATGGGACATGCCCATCACCGCACACATCTCACCTCTCTCTGCAGGCACAGATCGCGTGTGTACGCATGTGCTTCATCGCCGAAAGGTTCAGCCTCCTGGACCTGGCCACCGCGCTGGGATTGAGCACGCGGGCAGGACACGCCTACAGACATGATGCAACAAACAGCAGCAGAGAACAAGATGGCACTAAGGCCAGTGCTACATACGTAGCCTACCTACTTGTAAATCACATAACACACTGCACAAGTAGAATTGATCAAGGCAAAGAAACCAAATTACACCAAGCGATAATGGGACATACCAGCCAAGAGCAGGGTGATGATTGATGTATCCTTAGGCAAGAACACACGCAATCTCGAGCCACTAGCGACAAACTGCAACAAACGAGACAGAAGTGTGGCAAGAACAGAGTCAGCAGCATGACAGATTGCATGCAACTCGCAGCCAAAAGTAACCCAGAAGGGCATTGCTTCGGCGATTATCAAGAACCAGAGATAGAGAATGCGGGCAAATAACAGCACATTCCAAAATGCAAGAGCCAGAAATACAGCCTACGAGTACTTCCTGTACACTATGGGCTCACGGGTCAAGTGCGAGCAATAAAGAATGAACATTGCATACCTCCACAACACCGGAAATACGGCCCTGTCGCTGAAGTGATGAGAGGAACTGCTTCGCTTTCGTTGAATCCTGCAAAAGAGGTGACACGGAGAAGGGAATGACATACCGTAAAGCCACGCATAAAAGCAATACCTATGGTCACTATAAGCTTGTGGTCAGAACATGCTATTCAAACGAGGCGTCTATTCAAGCTGCTATTCACGAGCAACCGATTCACAAAGGCATGCTTATGCCTCAATGGACTTTTCTAACTGTTGCGCCTCTCTTCAAATCAAGACATGGCGGGAAAAGCTATCAAAGCCACAACACCCTCGAGCAATAGAAATTTGTTTAACAGAAAAGAAAGTTATATCAAACTAAATGTACACGCTATAGTATTAAATTATTGGGCAGGCATAGCAAATCATGCAGCAGGACCTTACCGACGAGAGGTCTGAAATACGCATTGCTGCACCCTCCTTCTTTTGATGCAATCCCTTGTTGTTCTTTTTCGCTCTGTTGATAAGCAAACATCAGTCAACGAGTCAGTACTGTTTCGGCAACTGTAAAGTAGCACCAAAATTACATCTATTCTGAAGTGATCATTGTGAACAAGTACATATCAGAGTTGGTAATAACACAGGAGAGATGCGGTGATGAGAAAGAATCCTGACGAGGCACAGACTGTCAATCACTTTCTCTGTACCTGTTCTCAGCCGTGAGTAGGTCGTCAAAAGACAGCGAACGCTCCTCATCGTCTTGTCGATGGCGAAGAACAGTTGCAAGACCCTTGCTAATAAGAGCCTCAGCAATATTCCTAAATAGATCAGGGATGCACAACAGTCAAAGCACAAGCCATCCATACCGGTAAAATATTTGGAATGACACATGCAAGTACAGTTGTGCTAGGTGAAATACGACCCAAGGTGCACAGCTGGCGCCCTGGACCAGTTGCCACTACAATAGGTCGCTGTATTTCTATATGCATGCAAAAGTGTGAATAGGAGCATTTGCACCAATTCCAGAGCGTCAAGGAACATGCAGACCTACGGAATACACAAGAGTGGACCCAGCATGTACATGTATTTTGAAAGAGACAAATTTTGATACAAAAATACTGGTTGGAAGCTAGATCCATAGCTAAAGCAAAACAATCCCGTCACACACACACACACACACACACACACACACACACACACACACACACACTTACGTTTCACCGAGAAGAACAGTGGCGCAAATCCTCTCTGGGAAACCATCCTGAGAAGGGCGAACGTAGTCTACCGTGACATTGACCTGTAACAAGCAAGAAAATGCACACATAAATACAAACGCAAACATTAATAGTAAACAGACAACATGTACCACCGAAGAACACACAGCAGGAGAGGCTGGAGAAACAAACACATGACTTGTGAGTAACATAAAATTACACGTATGTTCGCAACTAACCTTCTTGTGGATAAGTTTCGTCCTGAGGAATTCTCTTGCTTCAAACATGTACGGAACATCATAGAGCTGTCGAACATTGCGCTTCTCTTCTGCTGATACGTCCCTGGTTCTGTGCACACACATAACAATATTTTTTTAAAAGAAGTAAAGAGAGCTGTGGCAGAAACACCTCCACAAATAAAAACCAGAGCCTAAGAGGGAGTCCTTTGCACAATCAGTACAAACGGAGGCCGCGAGGGGTATGGGATATTACAGGAACTCAGTGGCAAACAAAACGAGATGCAAGTTGCGGCAACTCACTGGCGGGGTCCACGCAGGCTGGAGAGGAAGATCTTCTGATTGGAGCCATCTCCAAGCTTGAGACGAAGTGCATCAGCATTGATGACCTCCATTACCTACAGAAAATGTAGTGGAAAATCCAGGACAGTTTAATTCACCTGCTTCATTCGAATACAGAGCGGCACAAGCTTCAGAAAAGGTGTACACGAGGGCCTGTCCTGAATTTCTGCACAGAGTGCACTGAACAAATGCAAAACAACAGAGATCAAAGACTTTCTTCTGTAACTCTGAGTTTCGTGTTCAGGAAAATTCATCAGACAAGGACCCTAAAAACTATTGTAGAATGCACTGAGATGCAGTATACAAATGCAGGATGAGAAATGCTCACTTACACGGGCAGAGTACTGTTTCTGGGTACCACTGGCTGCAGCAGATGGCTTGAAGTCCTTCCATCTGCGAACTCTCTTTTCCTTGGCCGCTCTAAAAATATCGAGAGAAAAAATCGAGGAAAAGTCAGACCAAGTAAAAAATCCACAGACCTACAGTCAACTTCGCTAATAACGACTGCGGACAATTCGCGAATAACGACCGAATTTCCATGCCCAGAGCAAAGTCCCATCTAACTGTATACATTTTACTTCGGATATAACGACTATCTGAATAACGACAATTCGCGTATAGCGACATGCTTTTAGTGCCCCCGAGGTCATATTCACTGCTTGAATAACGACTTTCTGGGCTTTTGACAGCTATTTCAAGTACCTGTCAGTCAAGTACATGTACCTGTCATGCAGAAGTACCAGAACCTATGGTGATGGATTATTATAAAGGCACACATGCAAGAAAATGCAGCCAAGGGGGGGGGGGCTTTTTCTTCCTTTTTTATGTTGGCTTCAAAATTGTTGGATTTACCAGCACACCTATATGTATACAATGTACATGTAGTTGTACATGATTGTACAGTAAGCATCATACATGTACATGTCTCTGGCCCTGTAGATGGCTCAAAAGGCATACTTTTCAATTGATTTCCCTTGCATATTGAATTTTTAGTTCCTTTCAACTGCAATATGAAAATAAAGTACACATTGACATAGAGCAAGAAAAGAGCTTGATTTTGATATGCATGTCATACTATACAAAATATGGGTTCACATACATTCAAATGGGACTTCGGTTATAAGGACACTTCGCGAACAAGGACACTTTTCTGATGCCCCGCCGAATGTCGTTATTGGCGAAGTTGACTGTATGTCCTATACATGCACGGTACTACTACTAAGTACACAGCAGCTGCAAATCTACACTCGTGCCTGTGTGTGCACGTATTGGGGCCTGGAGAGAGTGTGTTCACGACTCACCGTTCTGCTGCACGAAGCTTGTCCTTTCCTGTAGTGACCATACCGATGCTCCAGTCTACACAATGAGCAAATCCTTCCTGCAGAAGCGCCTCAGAGATGTTTCCAGCCTAGGGTGGGATAAACATTGCACACAAACAGTAATCGATCTAGAAAATCAACGATGGAAGTGGAAGCACCACTACATGCCAATGCAACAATATCACCCTATGAAAAACTGGGCAGGGAAAAAGGATAACAAAGCCACCAAACATAAACTGATCAGAAACACCAAGGAAAGCAGTACAGAACATTCTATTCTATACTCACGGGATGAATGATGGTGGCCATGATGTATGCGTTTGATGAGCCTGTGACACACGCAAAAAAAGGTTTAATTAATGCCAACAGTTCTTGTCAATGTGTTAAGTGTCCAGGCTGGCAACAGTGCATACCCAACGCACTGTAACTCTGCGCATATAAGAGCACACCTGATTAACATTCCAACGCAGTGGCAGGGAATAAGTAGAAATGCAGTGAGTGTACCATGCACCACATACCATAACATAGCACGCTGATGAATAGCTATTCTGCATGTATACTTGGCATTGCCTGTACAGACCTCGAATAAAAGTACATTTCTTCCTATTTGAAGAAAGCTCACTCGGAAAAACCCCCATTATGCGTGGGGCGGGAGATTACAGTGCACAGAAGCAGCACTGACACCTAAGGTTGAAAGAGGAGACCTACTTCAAGAACTTGACAGGCAAGCCATGTCCTACTGGCACAATACAGGAAGCAAACAATACCAGTACAGGTCCTGCAGTCCTGGTCTGTAAAGCAACTTAAAGCGGAATCCTAGCCAAATACTGTTCGAAAAAGGGTATTTTAACGCACCTTCAATTCTCAGTTTGACATCGCGCTGAAGAAGCCGAGACTCGACGAAGAACTTAGCCTGGAATGGTGAGCAAAATTGGAGGCAAGCACTAGTTAATTGGACCGGACACTAAGGTACAGAGATATGCATGCAAACAAACAGACACAAGCATGCACACACATGCTGATAGACACAATCATGCACACACATGCTGATGGACACGGGCAGTGTTTCGTACCTCTTGGGCAAACGGCTCGGCGCTGTTGTCCTCTCTCCTGAATCCTGGGCACTGCAGAACAAAGTGAAGGCATGGCAATTTTCACAGAAATGTAATCAAGGCACATTGAAGAAGCATCATTTGAAGTACAAATAACACCACTCCAGCACAGAAAAAAGCATGCACTGCATAACAATGGGCGTGGATTTTCAGACTAAGAATTCACTTGACGTGCATGACTATCAACTAAGGCAAAGGATCGCCCAGAGCTTCCTATCTCAATTGGCCCTAAAGATGATCACGGTAACAAAAAGAAAGTTTGAAAAAGAACATACCTTGATTCCAGACAGCATGACGCCAACGGTCTCAAAGCCAGGCAACAGGCACACGCGCATCGTGCAAGCATCTCGCACATACTCCACAACACCTGCAGCAATGGAGAGTGACAGAGAATATGATGTGTCGTGCAATAAGCCAACTCTCGGCATATCTGTTCCTGGGCTGATATTCTAGCATCAGGCTGTCCAACAATGCTACCAAGCAAAAGCGTGACATTCATACATAGTGTATCCAAAAGCAATGGTCTCCTCCTCATATCAGGTATACAAATGTCTCATTCCAAAGCGGGACTATCCTGCTATAGGTGGGATGGTTGGACAGTCAGTCTGCATGGTGGCAAACTTGCCATAAACCACAAAATGAATGTACACTACGCAAATGACTTCCATTTCTAGCCTTTTTGTTCATTGCAGAATGTTCTGTTGTGTCTCTCGGCTCCTTGTGAGTTTACTGTAACAGAAAAGCATTCACCTACGCGGGGCATGCTATTTTAACGTCACCAATACCTCCAAAAGCCAACCAGTACAGGTCATACTACTCACAGCTGATTTCTTTCCCGTGGTGCTTGTCAACATATTGTGCCAAGTTTTCCGGAGCGGACTTTACATCACGGATGTGCTAGGAGAAGAATAGCAATAAAAGCACACAACACGCACATGCCCAAGCGTGCAACACACACAATTTAATACTAATGCATGTATTCCATAAATATGTCAGGCCTCCACTCCCATACTGTAACAGCCGTGCACAGAAATCGCTACTTATACTGTTGCTAGTGAGCGTTGAGAATTAGTGGGAATCGCTACCGTTGGTACTATTATAGTATCCCCCGCATGCACCCTGCAACACTTGCACTCCAGTAATCCCGTGCATTTAACCCTTTGTGGACGGACTGTACGAGTTTCGATCTAATAAGATCGAAAGTCTGCAGGCGGTAAAATCTTCGTAACTCCATCGTTTCTTGAGCAAATTCCACAATCGAAGGGTCTACGTGGTAGCGGAAACTCCAAGCTGTCCAATGCAACAATCGCCGAAGAGTTACGATGTCGGACGCCAGAGATATCGCACGCCGTATTCTTACCTCGGCAAATTCAAATTTTTGATCGATCATTTCGCCATTTTGGGGGAAAACCCCTTTTCGTGTGCTCTTTGAGCGACTGAGCACATGATAATGACGTAGCCGGCTGAAGTTTGAATCGTCTCAAACAGATTTGAGCGTTCTGCGATGAAGGAGAGTGGAATGGCGTTGATGGGACGAATTTGCTTGCATATCAGGCTTGGAGACGACTTTGCTGTGTTACCGCGCCTGATTTGTGGCGGCTGGATAATGGAGATTGGTACCCTGGCGTTGCTCTCGTCAAGAGCTTTCCAATGAGCCCTTGACTGTGAAAATCAAGTGAAGGACACCAAAGTTATAACATGGTAAAGTTGAAAATTGTACTGACATTTTGTAATTCTGGTGCGTACTGTGCTAGTAATCCGTCCATAAAGGGTTAACTGACCATGTATTCCACCAACTGCAGTCCACAGACAACCTCAATTCTTGTGAGGGCTATAGAATACAGAAAAAGTACCTTGAAACATAACAGCAGAATATACGTCACCTACCTTTTCGGGATTGGGCCCCCACTTGCCTCTATTGGCAGCCTTGGCCTCCTCCTCAAGTGCAGTAAGACGAGCCATCTCCCTGCATCGATAAAGGCAATTTAAAGTACAGTTAAATTATATTGGGGAGCCATAACGAGTAAAGCAGGCCCTTTGAACATCACCATGTACCCCCAAGCAGGCCCTGAACAAATCACCATTTATCCCCCCCCCCCCCCCCCCCCCACCAAACAATGAAATTGCCACTGCATGCACCCAGCTTCTCTCTCCAACGTCATCTCCTTCTTAACCCTTTCAGTGCCAAGGGGGTCAGAAAAATTCAAATTTTTCTGAGTTGAGCCGAACTCAAATTTTTCATAGCTCAGCTGTATATCCACGGACCTTTACAAACGATGGCTCTCAGGAAAGATATCATGGCCAGGCAGACAGCTGTGAAGAGAAAATGCCGCGAAATAGTCTTCCTCGCGAGGGCGACTGAGCGAAGTCCGTTTTCTGCATTTTCGTAGCATCTGCACTTCCTCACGCGCGTGATCGATAGCAGTGCAGTTAACTTTCAACACACGAAATTCGGACAAAGTTGGCGTGAAAGCCACTGAAAATCTCGATGTTTTGATACCCAATACGCATGGGTTGCCACGAGAGAAATAGAGAAACCCGCGATGCGCATACGTCATGTTTTCTACGCGCGACAATTGTTTGTCCGAGCGCGCGCGCTTCAGGCTTCGCCCTGGCGATATCTATCCTCACGTACACAAAACGATGTGATGAGTCGATAGCCAAGGTCCTCCTGAAGACGTAGAGTGGTCGTTTGTAACTCTCCTGTGTGCAGAAGTGGAGATACGAATTTATTTGTACACACATACTCATTCTGGGCGACTAAAGTCGCCCGTGGCACTGAGAGGGTTAAGACGCATTGAGAAACTCCCCAGATTCCTGGCCCCCTTGCTGGATCCCAGCCTGTCTGGTTGTCCCCCCCCCCCCCCCCCGATCTCTCTCTCTCTCTCTCTCTCTCTCTGTCTGTCTTGTAATGATTGCAGCAATTTGCAGCAATGACCCTGGTGATATGGAATCAAACTGTGCTTACCAGTACATTATTCCCCTTGCCTGCAAAGACACACAAAGCTTACTCTGACTGTGGGCCAGTTTTGCGAGCCTCGGCAAGACCTTCAGAGAGAAGTGAGTCAACGACATTCTGCAGCTCACCGCCTAAAGAAAAAAACACAGGCAAAAAGCTCAATGTCAACACTGCAGAGCAAAATCCAGACTGCATCCAACACTAGAAACCAACAGTTGGGAAGAATTGCTTTCAACAAACCCTTCAGGGTCAGTGAAGCTGGTGGTACCTGAGAGGTAACACATTGGCGTGCCCAAGTCAGTGGCATAATCACCATACACATTCTCCACATCATAAAGATCAGTGACCTGCATAATTATGCGTATGCACGCACGCACACACACCGCCGCCACCACTACCAACGCCACCATGCACGCACGAACAATACACTGCTGGCATGCTTACCTCGGGTGATGAAGACAGAGCCGAACTCCTTGCCACTTGGGGTCTTATTTGCTGAAACAGTGAAAGTAACTTCCTTGCCAACAAGGAGTGTTCTCAGGAACTCTCTGCATTCCCAGGCCCATGGCTGAACAGAGAAACACAAACCAGTATTAAAGTATGATATGGACTAAACTTGACCAGGCTCATCAAATTCATATTGACAGATCAATGCTCTTTTGTGTGGACGTGCTCGTAAGTAAATAACTCATGTTCAGGGTTTGTAACACACTTTTAACGCTTTATGGACTAGCTGCTTGATCTTCTGGAATCGAAACTCGGCAATATTTTGGTCGATCGTAACCAGACAATTTTCGTTGCAATGATGGTGTTGTAACTAAGGTGCTGGGCTATGGCAATGGCGTTTTCACCCTCATGGTAGCAAGTGTTGGCCTAATGTGTTCCTTTTTGAGGCAAGCTTTCCCGGAAGCCCAAGAGTGTAGAAATCGTCCAAGGAGATCAACGTCTTGACCCAGAGGATTGTGAAATTCGAGGTCAGTGGAGGGCGAATTCAGCCTGCGTTCATTTCTTCCAGTACGTAAAGGGTTAACATTACCCACGTCGAATAAGACGAATGCGGAAAGCATAACAAAACATGCCAAGTCATGAATAGGAAGTGGCCTAAACGCTCAAAGTCACATGCTCATGTGCATGCTGGCATGCATGTGCCCATTCTAGCACGGTTTCCTGGTCTCTACAGGATATACCGTGTAATATTGTATCAACGAGCGTGCAATACCATTTGCGTATATTCGAACTGACAATAACGAACCAGTATGTTTGTGCCCCCCCCCCCCCCCTGCCCCAGATGGCATGGACTCGTAAAGGTTTGGGCATTGGACAATGGATACATCTTCGTACCAGCGTGTGCAAGCGCGTGCGTCAGCGTGGTGTGTGTGTGCATGTACAGTGAAAATGGCAGATGAGCAATGGATTCTGTATATGAACCATTCACAATACCACTTATAGCGATGCAATGCAACACATAGCACCACATACACGAGCAGTGCACGTCCATTCAGCTTCGTATCAACTTTTGCAATTGCTGGCGACAGTACACGACAGGCATTTCCTTGTCGCGTGTCGTGTTGCAGAAAGTGATATTGTGAATGGGGCTTAACTCTACTTCCATTGTGCAGAACTTCCATCTACCCACAGTCCAATGTACATGCAGTGCTAAACGGTACTGTACAACTCTAGATTGTATACAAATTATCAATGGAGTGATCGCACTCGTTTTGTCTTGCAACTCAACTTGTGTAAATTGGTTGTTTTGTGTTATCTACATACTGATTATACGTTATATCCACTTGAAGCGCTCTGAAACGGCAAGCACTACAATATCGTTCTGAGCTCGTATACAGGATAAAATTTGACTCGAGCTCGAGTAAATTACCTCGTCAGTAGACTCATTGTCTGCATCCTGCTGACGACGTGCCAGACGTGGAGCAGTGATCCCCGAAAGACCGACAGTTCTCTCTGGAGGAGGTCCACCACGTGGCTGACCACGAATGATTAGTGAGTCCCCGGATAATATCTGAACACATCAAATTGCAACCAACGAGCCCTGAAAATTATAAGATACCGAGACGTCGTGTGGAATAGCGACATAGAAAATCTACCTGCTTCACGACTCCCTTCTGGTACTGAGTACGGGGAGCCTCCGCCATTGTGATACAGAAAGAAGTCAACCCGTATGAAGTCTCCTCGATTACAAGCACAGCAAATTATTTTCAACAAAGAGAAACTTTGTGTCGGCTTCACAAATGTTGGGGAAGAAAGGGAGAGCTAGCCGTGCTGTACACGACCACGCATACAGTCAGTCAAGTGCGTTCGAACCAGTAACACTACCATACCATTGTACTGTACCAGTCTTCAAAGCATTTGAGGCATTGCAGTGTGTGTACGTGTATGTGACAACAGTTTGTTTCCCTGATCTGAAGTCTGTGAAGAGCTGAGCTGACTCGACTTTTGACCGTCGCCATTATTTTTTCGGATCCAAGGAAGCCATATTTGTTTCCAAGACAATGACTATGACTGTGCTTCTTGAGAAAGACCGCACACTGTTGAAAGCGGCAGGGAGTACTACTCCCTAGTTGAAAGCAGGGATATCGCATTTTATGAATCTGATTATCGGGTCCGGGAATCTTTCGCTACTGCCAGCTAGCTGGACTGTAGAGTTCGAGGTGCGAATCTTTCCATTTCTTCCTCGAAAAATGCAATACAGTACATGTACATGACATTGTACTGATGTCCTTAGATTGCAATGGTGGGTTGTTCATTCAGATTCTCCTTGGTGTTACATGTAGGAAGCAGGTGGCAGTTGAAACTGAAAGGCAATTTGTCCACCTATCTTTTGTGTGGTCATTTCTCCGACAACATCAAGGTAAAAATAATAGGCTTTAGCAGCACCAAGGCAGTTTTCAGTAGAAAGAGACCCTACAATATCCAGGGTGGTCCAGCAAGACTGGATCAAGATCCAAATACCAGCTATTCAAGCTTGCATAGCAACCGGTGTTACGTGTATCACCATGATTGCATATTATTACTGTGAGAAACATCGGATCCGTTTGTAGCAGGGCTAGGGAGTCACTACATATGCGACTCCGGCTCTGTGGACTGATTTCAAGGTCACCAGATCGGCTCTGTGGACTGATTTCAAGGTCACCAGATCGGCGTACCCGCTTGCAGAAGGACATCGGAGCGCACATACCACCCGCCGCAAGCCGCGCTGGTCAGGCTAGGTTCTCTGTTGCCGCTCCCAAGCTGTGGAACGCACTACCCAGCGACATCCGCACCATCCCCCAACGCAGTGTGTTCAAGATGTCAGTCATCCCACATACGCTCGCTCCATGAAACGTATCACCCATTATTCCAGTCACTGTTGCTGTCGCATCCACTCGTATGTCGCATCCACTCGTAGTCCACGTCCACTGATGTCGACCGAGGTAGCTCTCTTGCTACTGTGTAATAGTGACATGTACCCAGCTAATGTCTCTGCTTCGTTCAGGGAATTCAGAATAGGAAGTCTGCTGTACCACCCGCTCTTTTCTTTTTACTTTTAAAAGCGATTATTTGTAACATGGAAATTTGTTCCTTGGCTCACCATCTGAGTTCTTAAAGCTATTATTCATTTTCTGCTGCCCCCGGTTATTTCTTTTATTAGTTTTATTTTCTTTGCCTTCGCTTTCTTGTTATTGGGCAACTTGCCCGTTAGAATCTGCGAAGTAAAATAAACAACAACAACAACAACAACAACAACTCCCTGGTTTGTAGTAAAAAATTGCCAATGTTTGGCCTTTGCAGGGCCAAAACATCGACATTTTCTCCTTCCCAGGCGTCGCTTCCAGTGTGTAGCTATCACATGCTTCCTCCTCAGCTACATGTAAATGTGCTGTCACTGGAGGTTGAAATCAGCGACTATGACTCTTTTATACTCTACAGTAGAGTCGCGCGCCCAAGAACGTAAGTCGTTGTTTCCAAGGGGTTAGCCTGGGGCGTTCTTATCTTTCAGCAATCTGGCTGTAACGTTCTTAGAAACAATCCGTTCTGAATCATAATCAATAGAGAGGTTCCGCACTACGTAACAGTAAAGTTGAGCAACTAATTACTTTACGTTAGTGGGCGGGAAAAACCCGTGAATTCGCGAGTTTGCACTCCACTTACGGAAAGTTGTCTACGGAGAGTACGTAGATAGGGCTCTGATAACGTAGCTGGTCCGTTAGTGGATTGGGGTACAAATTTAATTAATTTATTTATAACTCTCTCCCAAGGTTGATCTGGTCGTACACTGCCTCGTTCGGAGTTGCCAAGGGCAGCTACGTGATTTGAAAACTCCGTATGGCGGAACACAGATGAGCATGCAGTTTACGTAAGACTTTCCGTAGATCGACTACGTTTTTTACTAACGTAATTACGTTATGCGGAACCTCTCTAATGTATCCCACAAGCTGTCAGAAAACCAACACCGCCGGCTCAACTTAGTTTAGGCTGTGGCGGTCTTTAGCGCGACTCTACAGTAACAAGTGTACCACCATGATTGCATTATGCAATTGTGAGAAGTATCCGTTGGTGAATTCAGTACTGATTGCCAGTGTTTGGCCATTGCAGGGCCAAAACATTGACATTTCTCCTTCCCAGGCGTCGCTTCCAGTGTGTGGCTATATACTATCACATGCTGCCTCGCCTCCTCAGCTAAATGTGCTGTCACTAGTCACTGGAGGTTGAAATCAGCGGCGATGACGTACTACTACTAGTCTACCGAGTACGAGGTCAATAGGAAATAAGTATCTAATATTGACTGAGTACGAGGTCAATATGAAATAAAAGCCGAGTAAAAGACCGAGGCGAAGCCGAGGTCTTTTACGAGGTTTTTATTTCCTATTGACCAAGTACGAAGTCAATATTAGATTTATCACGACAAACAGTCCGTATTTCAAATTCCAGAACGATAACCTCATGAATCCCGGTTTTATGATTGCACAACCGTTGCACCACCACCTACTCATGCAGTGACAATGCTGCACTAGGCACCGTTCAACTGCGCAACCCCTAAGCAGTCAAATATAAGCAGTCAATATAGCCCTAAGGAGTGAAATATGCAGGAATATTTGACTGCTTAGGTATGGCTGCTTAGGTATAGGTTTCTGAGTGACGATGACGTTCGCTTGATCAGGGTCTTGATCTCTAACACCAGACTTCGTGTTCAGCTTGGGAGGTGCCAGTCGGAATCATTTGCTACAACGAAGGGGACGCCACAGGGGGATTGCCTTTCCCCCGTTCTCTTCACGGTTTACCTGGAGGCTGCGCTCCGACAACTAAGGCAAGAGGTGCCAGCAAGACCTCTCAGCGACAACGGTCTGCCGCTCGAACTTGTATATGCGGATGATGCAGACTTTGTCAGCACCTCAAAGTCCTGGCTGGCGGACGTGGAGGCGACTGCCAGCACGGTGCTACCACAGTGGTCCCTGATCATGAACCGGGACAAAACTGAGTATACGGACATCTTCAGAAGTGCGGACAGGATCGATGAAGAGTGGAGGACAACGCGCAAGCTGGGTTCGCTGCTGGGCGACGAAGAGGATATTATGCGACGAAAACAGCTGGCGACTGCAGCATTTCAGTCCCTATGGAGCCTCTGGAAGAGGCATCAGCACATCAGCGAGAAGTTGCGTCTGCGGCTGTACAGCACTTTTATTGTTCCAGTACTGACGTACAACTCGGGTACGTGGGGGGTCAGTGTGACCGTTCTGTCTCGCCTGGATTCCTTCCACCGCCGTCAGCTAAGGTCACTCATCGGTGTGAAATGGCCACAAATAATACCGAATGATGCTCTCTATGCCAGATGCGAAGCTGAACCCTTGAGTGTCATGGTCAAGAGATCACGCTGGAGGCTGTTTGGCCACATCCTGCGGATGGCAGATGAATCTCCAGCTGTTATGGCTATGTTCGCGTACTTCGCCAATCAGCAACAGAAATGCTGGAGGGGTAGACCGCGGACGACCCTGCCGCAGGCATTGGTGGGAGATCTGCGCCAAGCCAATGCCGGATTGCTCGGGAACTTAGACGCTCTGCAGAGCCTGCGAGCCATTGCCCATGACCGACCCGCATGGCGAGATCTATGCATGAAGATCTGTGCATCGTGATATTCCGACAGGTCCTGAAACAGTCAAACTCAGGAAATAGCACTATTATTATCACTCAGGCTGCAATATTCAATGACATAATTAAAGACATATTCATAAATGACATATCTTCAATACCCATGAGCTACATTGTATATGATAATTATATCATTGTATCATCGTTCTAGCTCAATTTCTTTCCCCTGTCATAGTCCTGTTTATCATGTTCAGCATAAGCGAAGTTGTGGATCATGCTTGCATGGTTGACTCCAACGCGTACATGCAAGTAATAATAATAATAATAGGTATGGCAAAAATCTATGTGAGACAATACTAAGGGAGTGATAAAAGCCGAGTACGAAGTCAATTTTTAATTTTTTATTTACGACAAACGGTCCGTACATGTATTTCAAATTCCAGAACGATAACCTCATGAATCCCGGATTGCACAACCGTTGCACCATCCTGTCCCCGGGGAAAATTGCGGAAAAAATCGCAAACAACGCGGGGGAAAACGCGGCATAATATGGCATAATTTGCGGTGAATTTGCGGTAAATATGCGGTGAATAATATTGATGTGCGGCAATTTTCAGTGAGTATGTAGTGAAATCAATCAGTTACAAGTCTCTGGTGTAAGCACTCGTCATATTTGAGTAAAAAGCCGCCACGATGAGACGTTGCTGAACGAACAGTGCACTGTGTGTACGTGTAGTGCAACAAAAAAGTTCAAAAAACGCGGGGAAAATCGCGGAAAACGCGGTCTTTTAAAAAAATCGCAAAAAAACGCGGAAAAAAACGCGGCCGCGGAATCGCAATTTTCCCCGGGGACAGACCATCACTGCATCAGTGCCATCACCTACTCATACAGTGACCATGGTGACCATGCTGCACTAGGCACCGATCAACTGCGCAACCCATACGCAGTCAATATAGCCGTAAGGAGTGAAATATGCAGGAATATTTGACTGCTTTAGGTATAGCGAAAAACAATGGGAGTCAATACTAAGAGAGGCACGGATAATCTTTTATACTCTATTTTACCCTCTAAACATCGCGCACCGTGATGATGCAGACTGAAAGCTCTTACAATGTCACTTCCTGAAGGAATCACAATCAGTCTCAATTTTGGAGGCGAACTGGACAAAACATTTACAATGGCAAAAAAATATCACGTGACTTTTGCAGAGTAGGGACACACGTGACGACAATGTGCAACGGGTTTGGAAGGTTGACAAGCCGTGACGGTAAAGTCAGACCACAGAAAGGTGTGACTAGATTGTAAGAAGATGAAGAAGGAAAGGACAGAGGCGTTTATAGGTTGATCAGATGGAAGGCACGATTGTCTATGTTCTAGGTGGAGTGCAATGGAGAAGGCTGTAAAGCCAGTAAGTAGAAAACGGTAAACATTCGGATGGAGTCGTGGGTGGCTACACTTTGCTACAACACTGCGGCGGGCTTGAAGCAATACAATACTGAGTTGTGCGTGAGGTGGTGAAGAACCAGGTCCGGCGGTAACAGCTATGCGGAGGAGTGGAGTCCAAACATAGACAGCTCATTCTAGGACTGATGCATGATTTGCAAAAGCAATGTGTGGGAGAGAAGAGTGCGAGCTGTGTCGGGAATGCTGTGCATGCAATGCGGCGTGGCGCCGCGTGGGACATATGAAGGTCATGCCGCTGAGTTAAAAGTCAATATCCATACATCTTCACGGCACTCTCCAAACGGTCTCTGGGCTACACCAAACACTAAAAGAAAGAGATATCATAATACGGCAATCAAGAGTACTACGAACTGTGCGGTAACCATGCTTAATTACAGAAGTAACAAACATGCGAGAGAAATGTGAATGTGAAATGTACATGTAAAAAGAAGAAGAAGTGAACCGTGACTTCTTCTTCTTTCTATTTTGAAGTACATGTACACTGTTTCACATTCACATTTCTCTCGCATGTTGAACACTTCTTATTCTCTTTTCATGTACATTTCACATTCACATTTCTCTCGCATGTTTGTTACTATTGTAATAACGCATAGTTACCGCACAGTTAGTACTCTTGATTACCATATCAAAGTTGCTGTCTCCGAAACGCTTGTTTAGATATCATAACCATTCGAATTTTTAGAGAGATAATCAGTATCTCTTTTTTTCTTTCAGTGATTGGTGTAGGCCAGAGACCGTTTGGGGAGTGTCGTGAAGATGTGGGTATAGTGGATGGCTACAGTGAAGTCTTCACATTTTAAAAGTCAATGATTAATCAAACATCCAGGGGCACATCATGCCTGATTCCAGCTCAATGCTCAGTTGCATATCCGTTTCTTACTCCGGAATGACAAGCGTTCAGTGATGGCGTGCAGGTCACGTGCACTCCGGCATTTCAGCAGACTCGGCTACTTACAAGCCGAGCCAGCTGCCACTAGAGACTGTCTGCTCAGCATTCAACAGTTCCAGCAAATCAAACTAAAGAGTATGCCGCAATGATTTCGTTCGAGAGGGAAGTTGGAGTGGCTACTCGGCCACCAGCGAAACAAGTCAGTGTTCCTGCACTGAGCCGGTGATACAGCTTCTGGGAAGCACACTGAATTTCAAAGTTTAGTAGATAGAAGACTTGAATAAGTGCACATCATCGCATGTAGATCAGTAGCAACAAGAGTAAAAAAGCTCCCAAGATTGTGCAACTCTGCATGTGGGATCGCCAACGACGAAAACTCACATCACTTGTTCCAAGTACGATTTACTACGCGCAGCAAAGGCCAACATGCGCGCAGTCTGAATATCTGCCATGACCATGATGACGACTCGCAGAAGCTGAGTGGGCTTCTGCCAGGCCGAGTGCTATTTTATTACTCCACTGGTCGCTAAAAACGGACTGGAAAAGTACAATGGGAACACTACACCAGGTGATGTGAATTTTCGCCGTCGGCGGACCCAATAGCAAGGGTATCAAGAGAAAAGAACACTGTTGCTAGCAGCAACTACTAACTGCCTCGTGTAGTGCGGTGCCAGTGGGATTCAGCAAGAACATCACTGTGACAGTGGTCTGCATTGCTGTCCATGATTTTCATTGTTCAGAAGATATTGTTAGGTGCTGCGCCGCAGTGCAGCCAAGCTGACAAGTTGTAAACGCCAGTTCAGTCCTGATTGTGACAGGCGTAACGTGTCCCCGTGACAGTGGTCATGTTCATATTTAGTACAGTGTGCATGATGGCTTTTTCTGAGTCAGGCTTCCGCCGGCTGGGCCGTCCATTGTGGAGGGGAACTGATGTGGTCCGTGTAAAGTGAATGTTGGCTGTGCCAATCCGGGCCAAGGTTGTTGATGATAACAATGATGATGATGAGGGCCGCAGTTTCAGTGGATTACATGTATCCGATGAGTCAGTGACCAATATTAAAAGTCCTCATACCTCGCTTGTCACCCGCGAGGAGTGTCCACATTTGTAGGGCTGTCTTGCACCACTGTCACATCCCGTTGGTCACTCCACGGTGGTGCCATGCCAAATGTGAGGCAGTTGTTCTCTTCTCGATATGGTGTGTACCAGTCTGGGTAACTTCCTGGACGCATCCGCACCCTGACACACGTGTTCCAGTCAAGGATCCAAAAAACCGCTGAACAAGAACTGACACAACAATCTCTACTACAAGCTATTATTGATAAGCCTAAGCTAACCGGTAAAACACGTGACATTATGAGTCACGGGGGTCAGGATTGAATTGCATGGCCACTCACTGTATGCCTGCACGAAATACGGTTGCATGTAATTCTGTTATTCTCACTTCAAAATAAACCGTATTTCTCTGTATTTCTCCTTACATTTTAGATCGTTTTTCGCATCGTCTCCATCACTTAATTAACATTGTTTAACAAAGTACACCAAATATCACTTCAGCTCCTCCTCCTTATTGTTATATAAAAAAATAAACCGTAGTAGACTTTCCTACAAGTAGTGCATTTGTTCTGAGCGATGAGCTTGAGTTTTCATTGCAGCTGAGTCACATGGCAGGAGAATAACGGTCCCATTTATGAACGAAAAGTTGACCTACTTTTAAATTAACTGGAACAAAAATAATCCCGTGACAGATGTTGGAAGGATACTCTGCAAACAGCTCTTCATTGCGGACATGACGAGCTGCAACATAGATAACTGCAAACATGATTGCCTGCGATGATGGCGTGGCTACCGACAACAGCCAGGTCGGCCTTGATGACCACCTGCAGCGAGACAGAGGAAAAACACGCCGAGTATGCACCACCGTGATAATTGACGGTGTATGCACAGCACAGTCCTCATACAGCATAAAAATCCAAGAATCCGCCCGGCGACAAAGAACACCAACTTGATGACGATACAGTGGTATAATAGTGCAGGACCGCCGGCAGCAGTATTCAATTGGTCCGGTCCGGTACCAAATCCTTTCATACTTTGTGTTTGAGATATTGGGAACATAATTATAACCTCCTATAATAGCAATGTTCCACAATTGAAAATGTTAGAAGCTGTTTACATTCACGAACACCAGCCTGCCCTATCCATTCAGAAGGACTCAGCCACTACACTCAGCTCACACTATTTCCGTAATTCGCACAGTTTAGTCCTATGTTTAGTCCATGTTTTCTGTAACGTTTGGGTTTGTCCCAACGTCAAACACAAGACTCCACTCAACAGCTCCAGACAACGACTGAGGTTTATTTACAAGAAGAAGGAAAGATAAAGATAAACTGTCATGATGTGTATATGTACACAGTACGGGAATGCATAGGTAACTGATCCAGGAACGGATCGGGTACATCGATAGACTCATGAGAGTACAGAGTACATAGAACGATAATTATATAGATTGTGTCATCCATTTATGGGTAAGCGAATGGGACCACAACATCTCCCATTTTATGTTTGAAGAGAAACGCAAAACTCAGAGAATACAGAGTCCTGCACATACAAACAAGAGAGGGCAGAAACACATAATACTGAGCAATGTGTTCACAGGTCGAGTCTCGGCGGCGGCCGGGAAGGACGTGTGGATCGGCGCAAGGCAGGTTGAAACTCTACATCAGCGGATGGAGGTTCAGGTGCACTGGCATTCAACTGCGGCGCCGGTTGCACATCGGGCAGTATCTTGATATGGCGACGGTTACGGCGGTACTCGGTGAGGTCGTCTGTGGCTACGGTATACGAACGCTCATCGGTACGTTCAGTGACAACTGCTTCTGACTCTAGGTCAGGGATCCAAACTCTTGTACCTTGCTCTAGTACTGGCAGTGGCTGTACTCGATGTGCGGCATCATAGCTAGCACTCTGGCGTGTCTTGCTGGCTGCCTCACGTTTCCGTAGTGCTTCGATATCCGGCCAGCCGGGACGGAGCGCTTCCTTCGTAGACGGAAGACGGGTGCGAAGACGGCGACCGAATAGCAGTTCTGCTGGTGAGAACCCGTTCGCTAATGGTGTGGACCGGTAGACGAGAAGGGCATCGTCAAGGTTGTCGTTAGTCTTGAGAAGACGCTTGACGGTTTGTACTGCTCGCTCCGCCTCACCATTGCTCTGCGGATATCTCGGGCTACTCGTACGGTGGCTGACTTTCATCACGGTTGCGAAGGCTGAGAACTCGGCACTGGCGAATTGCGGGCCATTGTCCGATACCAGGACTTCGGGTACACCGTGTATCGCAAACAACTTCAGCAGTTCCTTGATAATTGACTGCGATGTCGTGCTGCGGACCGGAGATGCGTGGATATACCGAGAGAAATAATCCACGACGACGAGGTAGTCATGACCATTGTAGTGGCAGAGGTCTACGCCTACCCTCTCCCATGGCAGAGATGGGAACTCAGTTGGTTGAAGAGGCTCCGGTGGTTGGTAGCGATGCTTGGAGCAGATGGTGCAATTCCGGACATACTCAGCAACTGCCATCGAGATACCTGGCCACCATGCAGACGACTTTGCGCGGGCTTGACACTTAGTGATGCCTTGATGACCATCGTGTAGCTTGGCTAGGGTGCTAGCGCGTTCTGCTACTGGAATCACGATGCGGAATCCATGGTAGAGGAGACCACCATGAGTAGACAGTGAAGCGCGCTCATTGCGATACGGTTCCAAGTCAGCGGGGACTCGAGCTGGCCAGCCGTGGAGTGTGTAGTGCTGTACTTTCTGTAGCGTGACATCATTGGCGGTTGCTTCTACAAGCGCGTGCTCCTTCTCTGGGCTGCAGAGAGAGGCGAGGACTGCCGCTATTGTCGCTTCGGAGTCCCCGTGAAGCTCCGATTCCTTGACGGGTGCTGTAGGCAAGGGGGCTCTGGACAGAGTGTCAGCTACTACCATGTTCTTGCCAGGAACGTACTCGGCCTGCGCGTCGTAGCGCATCAGACGTATCAACAGGCGTTGGCACCGGAGTGGCACACGGTCCAGATCGCGACTGTTGATTAACGGGACCAACGGCTTGTGGTCGGTGTGAACAGTGAAACGCGGTCCACCGTACAGATATTGGTGGAAGTGTTCGCAACCCCAGACAGTGGCTAGGAGCTCTTTCTCTATCTGGGCGTAGCGTTTCTCAGCGGCTGATAGTGTGCGCGAGGCATATGCTACCGGCTTCCATTCACCATTCTGGAACTGGAGAAGAGCAGCACCTAGACCGTAGCTGCTGGCGTCAGCAGTCAGCAAAGTGGGTGCTTCCAGGTCATAGTAGCAGAGGCATGGTGCGTCTGCGGCGAGTTGCTTCAGGCGGTTGAAGGCTTCGGTGTGCGCAGCAGTCCACTGCCATGCAGTGTCATTGCAGAGCAGGTCGCGTAACGGCGCAGCAACGGTAGACAGCTCGGGCAGGAACTTAGACAGATAGGTGATCAACCCTAGTGCACGACGGAGTTCGTCGACATCGCTAGGCACTGTGAGCTTCTCTATGGCTTCGAGCTTAGCTGGGTCTGGGTTGACACCCTTGTCACTGATCTGGTGGCCCAGGTACTTCAGTGACGTGCGGCGGAAGCGACACTTGTCCGGATTGAGCGTTAGACCGGCGTCTATGAGTCGCTGCTTGACGGCTTCGAGGGCAGCATCGTGTTCACTCATCGTCGCAGCATACACAATGATGTCGTCAATGAATACGGCCACATTCGGGATGTCACCGAGGAGCTGCTGGAGACGGCGCTGGAAAATTTCCGGAGCACTGGTGATTCCGAACGGCAGGCGTTCGAACTTGAACCGGCCGAACGGGGTGATGAACGTGGTGAACATGGAGGCTTCTTCTGACAGGGGAATTTGCCAGAAACCAGATGCGGTGTCGAGTGTGGAGAAAATGGTTGACCCATTAAGCTTTGCCAGCGTGTCGTCCACAGTAGGCAACGGAAAATGCTCCCGTTTGACACTCGCGTTGAGCTTTTTCAGATCGACACACACTCGGACATTGCCATTCGGCTTCAACACCGGGACCATCGGCGCACACCAGTCTGTCGGCTGTTCTACCTTCGTTATCACCCCCTCAGTTTCCATCCGTTCCAGCTCGCGACGAACCTTGAGGCGGATATGGATGGGCACCCGGCGTGCGTTGACGCAGTTGTATGGCTTTGCATCGGGGCGAAGCTCAATCTTCACTGGGTCGCCGAGCATGCAACCAAGGGCAGGGCTAGCAGTTGACACACCTATGTGGCCTCGCTGGACTAGACCCATTCTCTGCGAGGTTTGGCGGCTTAGCAGGTTGACACCACCAGTGGCAATGACCAGGAGTGTGATGGAGTACGAGACACCATGCAGGGTAGCCTCAGTACTGAATTCGCCATCAATGTCAAGCTTCTTGCCATCTGCTCCGGTGACATGAGACTTGGTGGGACTGAGTGCTGGTCGTTCTGGCAGTGTGTGGAAACAGTCACGGGTCAAGATATTCAGGTCTGCGCCTGTGTCGATCTTGAAATTGACGTCCGCGTGACACACACGGAGCTGCACAGTCCAGGGTGCGTCAGCACTGTTACTTTGAGTCGAGGCTGCTCCCAGAAAGTGTGCTGGGTCTTCGTCATGTCCTGTCGTCGACGCAGCATGTGCAGCGCGTCCAGAACCATTGGAACTGCTACGACAAACTGACGCGAAGTGGCCTGTCTTCTGGCAAGTCAAGCACGTCTTTGACTTCGCTGGGCATTCATCGCGGTTTGCCTTGTGATCCTTTGAAGAACCACACCACAAGCACTTGCGAAAGTTTCCACTTGACGATTGGTACGATTTCTTACTAGACGACTTGCTGGATGCAGGCGAGGAGCGCTGTCCATGGCCTCGAGCGCGACTAGTTATAGCTGCAGCAGCTTGCTTGCCGAGATGCCCGTCCAAGGAAGATTGCTGGGCGACTTCAGCATTCACGGATTCCGTTTTCCGAGCAAGACTCACGGCTGTTTCCAAGTCCAGTGAGGTGTGATCCTCGAGCTGTAGCTTTTTTGAAACTTCTCTGTTCGTCATGTGAGCTACGAGTCGGTCTCGGATTCTCTCATCAGGTTTATCAAATGCGCAGTACTTGGCGGCGGCTCGTAGTCGGCGGACATACGTTTCGACAGTTTCCCCTGGGGACTGCACGCAGTGCTCGAAAAGAGTCCTCTGGTGGATCACGTTCACGCCAGGCCGAAAATACTTGTCGAATGCTGAAAGGACAGGGGCAATTTTCTTCTTGTCCTCCGCCGACAGGTTCAAAGACTCGAAAATCGGGTCGGCCTCGGGACCCATGGAATAAACAAGCGTATCCACCTGGCGTGGCTGGTCTGACTCGTCCAGTTTGGTCAAGGAGCGAAATCTTTCGAACCTGGCTTTCCAGGTTGGCCATGCTTCTGGCGCTGAGAAGTCGAAAGCGCCGGGGAGTGGGAACTTTGCAGAAGACATTTCTGCAATCAAACTTCTGACACCATGTAACGTTTGGGTTTGTCCCAACGTCAAACACAAGACTCCACTCAACAGCTCCAGACAACGACTGAGGTTTATTTACAAGAAGAAGGAAAGATAAAGATAAACTGTCATGATGTGTATATGTACACAGTACGGGAATGCATAGGTAACTGATCCAGGAACGGATCGGGTACATCGATAGACTCATGAGAGTACAGAGTACATAGAACGATAATTATATAGATTGTGTCATCCATTTATGGGTAAGCGAATGGGACCACAACATTTTCTTTCTTCACTTTTTTGCCGTCACCACACCACAGAGACCTACCTACACGGTGAATAAAACCTTCCAAGAGTGTAGAGA